AGATCGAAGGAATGCAATGGCATTTAAAAAAAAAAACTTAAGGCACATGCAATGCGCAAGTTCCATTCAATCCCTGTCTGCCCCTTCCACCAAATGGACCAGCCTCTGTTTAATGTTGTCGTCCCAGAAGCAAGGCGGGGCATCAAAAATGTGGGTCATCCTGTTGGAATATTTGGTAGATGGTATCGGGATCTTTGTGAATGTCTTTGTTGCTGTTTTTCCGATGTTGTTTTTGTGCGGGCGAAATGGATTCAGGGGTAGTGAAAGGGTTGGCAGCTTGGCACTTGCCTTCGAAATGGATTTTTGGGGTGTGCCAAAGTTCATGAATTCTGGTTTTCGGATTGTGGGTATTATATGGTATTATATCACGCTGTTCTGAAATTATGATCAAAATTGGGTATGGGAAATGGACAACCCCTACGCAAGTAACGTATACCCGCCGTGAATTGTATCTGTTCAACAAGCTTGGTGAACTTACAAGGACCAGTCCTTGTTCTTTGAATGGCTGCGGTCCTGCGGTGTTGTTTCCCCGTGGCAGTTGTGTTTGCACAGTCTGCAAGATGTTTACAGAAGAGTTTCCGGAGTTTGCCTTTCTCATTCTGTGCGACTTCGTTTGGAAGGCAACATTTCTGCTACATTTGCTGCTCAACTTTGCCATCAACATGTGCCTGAAACCGAACGGCCTGACCTATGACTTCCGCGCTCACGCTCTCTGAGTAGCTTTCAGCTTACGCGACAGGGAAGGTCTCAAGGATTCTCAAGGGTCCTTTCTCTGCTACAGATGTCTTCCCAATCTAACTCAGGTCAGCATCGTTCGATCTGTGTCTTTTCACATCCCAGCCTTAGTCCAGGGTAGATCAGCGCTTTTCACATCTCGCCGGTCGATCCATCTAGCTATGAAGCAACGTCAGTGACAGCACACCATGGCTTGGTGATGGACCAACATCTGTTCAAATACTTGGGATGATCTTCCTAGTGATAGGGATCTTAAATCAAGATGTGTTTCTTTTTGATGTTGTTTAAAATCTTTGAAATGTTTTGAAACCACCAACCAGATAAAATGCTCTCAGCTTGGAAAGCAGCGGCAAGCCTCACCAAAAAAGGCCCAGTCGCGAGTCACGGCTCGCATCGATGCCGCGCGTGCTATGCGTAGATTCGCCTCTATATGTTTTACTATCTACATCTATCTATGTACAAAATGATAAATCACCGATCTATAATCTATCTATAATCTATAATATTTCACCAGTTAACCTGAAAGAAGGCTAGTTTGGAACGTCGCAGGCTTCGGTCGTTATAATCTGTTCAGTGTTTATGTATACTGTATACTGTATAGCTGGATAATAAAAACTAATAGGCCATCGATAATTTAGCTGGTGATTCTTAATTTTCAATATCGACCTAGAATTGAGCTTAAGTGAATCCTACGCGGTGAAACGGCTCAACTCAAAGCTCTAGGCTCGCTCCGCGTTTCACAAAACTCACGAAGTCCCGCCGATCTGAGGGCAACGGGGTGCCAATGGAGCCAATAAATCTTGGTCACATCATGTTTGATGGTCTAAAACCGCTTAAAAACTTTGTAACTGACGGTGAAATCCGCGTGAAATCATCGTTTTATATCGTTTTGGGATCTGAAACAAACCAATTTTTTGGGGGGGATCCTAAAATAGGGGTACCCAAAGTATCCACCACAAAAGGATGTTCCATTGTAAACTATCCATTTTGGGGTACCCCCATTTTAGGGAACCATCCATTTTGGGGGGGAACAACTTGATGATCACCAGCCTTAAAGCTCACCATTCCGGCTCCGGCTTCTTTGAGCATCGCGACCGTCGCCTGGCATCACCGGTCTGCTCGCTGCTACCGGTCGTATAGTATGACTGGTGTGGTCGGCAAAACATGGTCACGATATATCGCATGATTTCATGTTCTGTCCATATTATGATGGAGATGGGGATAGGTCAGAATGATCAACAAAGATGGGAGATTACACAACATGACCAAGAAATTCTGGGCTCCTTTTGTGCCCAAATGATTTAAATGACTTGGCCTGACTTGAAAGCATAATACAACAAGCACATCATGTAATTAATCCAATGCATTCCGATACCATGTAATCTGATAACCTCATATCATCTGGCAATCCCAGATCATTTGGTAATCCCATATCATTTGATTCTTTGATAATTTTATATCATCTGATAACCCCATATCATCTGATAATGCCCATCTAATAATCCCATATCATTTGATAATGCCCATCTAATAATCCCATATCATCTGATAATGCCCATCTAATAATCCCATATCATCTGATAATGCCCATCTAATAATCCCATATCATCTGATAATCCCAGTTAATCCCACAAAGTACTATCTTGACCCATCCACATGGCAAGACGTCTCTCACCCAACCTGCGCAGGCTCGGTCAAGCACGCGCTGAACTCACCTGGGAAAATCCATGAAAAGCCGAAAACTCAATAGATATCCATAGATGATAATTGGGGGCACCCATGGTGTTGGTTTCACTGACAGCGGGCAAATAGAGAAACCAGATACTGGTCTGAACGAAGTTTGACGCCTAGGTAAAGCTAGATTGGGATCACCACCAACCCAAGACCATGGCGCACGGGTTTTCACACCACTACGAACCGTCTCAGCTGTGCAAGAGTCGCACAGCACTTGATGGATCCGAAATGCCACCCGCAAAATGGATGGGAAACTGATCTCAACTGACATGTCACGGCAAAAGCTTGATTTCAACACGGCCGAAAATTCTTTCTTGCCGTGACAGATCTTTCAGGTTCTCAGGAGTCTTCAGATAAGATGCTATCACCAACTTCCAAAAAACGAGGCTTTCTTCGGAGAGCTCGCTTCTTTTTAGCACTCAGAAAACTCGGGTCAAAGAAGATAGAAATTTGTCGCCTTTGGAAGAGGTTAAGGAAAGCATCATAACAAAAGGCCTTAGACAAAGTGTCAGCCAATTGCTGATCAGAGTCAACCCACCGACAATCAACACCAGCCGCTCCCAGCCTGTCTCTATAGGACAAAACTTCCACTGCAAGTCTTTTCTCTTCAAGTTGCAAACCAGATGACTCAATTTTCATCACAGAATCATACATGTTTTTACTATCGGTCACAATCAAAGACTTCATTTGTTTCAAACAATCATCCAACACGGAAAGAGAAATTTGCTGTTCATTGAAAAGGTCCAAAAACAACTGTTTCAAAAATTCATGACTGTCAATCGCAGTTGATGCCATCTGAATCTCAGCAGCAGTGGATGACCGACATACTCTAGGCAACCTTTTTGACTGCCAAGAGACTGGAGAGAAGGAGCTGGCCTTTCCAGACAAAATGTCCTCGCTGGTGATCACGGTGATCATTCCGCCCTGACTGGACAAATCACGCCTGTTGCTCCAAGAAGCATCATGAAAAGTCACTAACATAGGTTTTTGAACATCAGAAGAAAAATGCAAAGGAGTGTTGCTATAGTGTTGTTGAGCACGAACCAATTTGTTCAATTCAAGAGCATCACCAACAGTAGCACTTTGGAAACAACCTTGAAGATACGAAGTACTAGCACACAACCAAGGAGCAGTTTGAGTAGAACGCCAAGCCAAACCTCCAAGAACAACACGAAACTGTTTCTTTTCAACGTCATTGAGAGGACTATCTTGACACTGCTTACGTTCTCGAGTCATGTTGATTTCACTGATGGAGTCGGCGTATTTTTCTTGGTTCAGTTCAATTGAAAAATCTTGCTTCTGAACCAACTCACAACTGCAAAACGTCAGGGATTCCTTCTGGGCATTCTTCCAGGACCCAAACGGGAAGGCTTGTCGCAACAAGTCAATCTTCTGACAAAAATATTGGTTCTCCAAATCACCACAAATCAGCAAATCATCAACATGACCACCAACTAAACCCTGTAACTTGCCATTCTGAAACAGCTTCCAGACACAGGGTTCCAAGCGACATTTGACCCACCCTTGGTCAACAAGAACAGAGTCCAGCTTCTGGTACCAGCAACGAGGGGCATGCAACAAACCATAAATGGCTTTCAAAATCCGAAAAACTTCATGGGACTTCATGCCTAACATGCCTTTGACTTCTTCAGGGGGTTCAGCATAGATGGCACGTTGGTATTCAGTTTTGTCCCCATTCAAGAACGCAGTCTTAATGTCTCCGGTTTGAACCGTCCAAAGTTGCATGGCAGAAACTGACAGCAAAACGTTCCGAGATTGGGTACTCAAAGTAGGGCTATCCTTTCTCAAGTTCAACAAATCGGGATCTTGAAAACCCTTGATAATCAGTCGAGCTTTAGGTTTACACCCAGTGGTTTCACCCTGATCATTTTGAATGACCTTCCAAGTGAGCACCCAACGCATTCCCAGTACCCTTTCCGAGGGCACACCATGTCGCGAAGCGATAGCCACGGCTTCATTCTCGAGATACGATCCTACTTCTCCCTGCATGGCACGCAGAAGATCCAATTTGTCCTGATCATTCAAGTGTCTAAACTGGACCTCAGCACGGCGTTTTGGTTTTTCATTCAAACGCCATTCCTTTTGACCATTCCTATTGGTTTGATGAACATCACGAGAAGAAACATTGAGAACAATTTCACAACAGGAGTCATGATTGTCAACCTTTTGAATAAACAACACATCAGGATCTTTGGTACCACTGTTGAGGGGAGAAGCCACATGGTTATCCGAACCATTCATAGACATCCCGAGTTTTCGCCGTTGATCATCCCTTTTAAAGAAACCCAAATTAACATGTTGGTCATCAGAAACATCACTCGCTCTCCGAACATTCCAATTGGGACGCAAATCAGCATTTCCAACAACATCACCATCCGAAGAATCAGCAACATCCTCACCATTAGTAACATCAACCACATTTCGGGGACTACCACAATGATCATCATATTTTTGAACAACACACACATGACCACAACCATGGGGAGATCGGCTACGCTGTCTCACTCGGCTCACGGTTTCGGGATCTGCTGTTCGATGGCTCTCAGACGATGGTCTTGCTGTTCCTGGTTGACTTGGATCTGGTTGATAGCTCCCAAGCCTTGGTGCAGATTCATCTGCTGCACCTCGCTGGTTCGATGCAGGTCGTCCATGCGAAGCTTCAGCTCGCTGAAGGCTCCCATCATCGCCTTGAACATCTGTTGGGTTTCGGAGTTGGCTGCATTCTCGTTCATGTCCGGTGTCATCTCGTCCCAGTCGCTCTCGACCTCGTCGGGATGAGGTATGGTCTCGGAACTCTTGGACTGGTCTGCTGGTTTGCTCTTCGTCTTGGGAGCGGCATAGCCCTGGGGGCTCTCTTCCACCGGGTAGAAGGGCTCCCAATCCTCCTTCCTCCGGGTGTACTCCACGATGTTCACGAATTTTGGATTCGTTTTCTGGTTCTGCATGAGCCAGACCACGTAGTCCAGTTGGTCGCGGTACACCTCGTGCACCGTCTTGTGACGATGACACCCATGAATCACCACCTCCTTCCCAAGGTCGGTCAGAGGCATGGCCTGGCACCTCTGCACCTCCAGCTGCAGTTCCGAGAGATTGGCGGAGGCTTTCGATGCCTTGACCCGCGTCTTCAGCTTCTGGATCAGCTCTTGCTGGGAGCTTGAGGATGCCATGGCGTGCAGGTTGCTTCGTCCAATTCCTGAGCAATTTACCACGAGAATCACTTGAACCAACAGGATCTGTGGAAATTGGTTCTTCTTCATGCACTTCAGAATCTAGGGGTTCTCCTTCAAGGTCATGACTGATATCCCTATAATTGGATCTATTTCCAGCTTCCTTGATTTCGCGGTAAATGGAATCAGGTTTCAAAAGGTCGCTCATGTCCTGAAACTGCCGTGTCACTTTCCGCAATTGTTCAGGTGCGCATCGATACAGAATGGTGCCATGTCCTATCCAAATGATGGATCCTTGTGTCATGTTTTCACTAGCTTCACCCTGTTTTTCAATGCCAACAATGCGAGCAGGACCATACCAACCTGGATGCCTGTTACTAGCACCACCTCTTCCCTTTCTGTAGAAATAGACAAGCTGACCAACTTCAAACTCTTCTGCTCTCCGGGCCTTTCCTTTTTCAGCTCGGAGGATGCGTCTTTGGCCGTCGGCCCGCAGAAATGCCTCTTTGGCACTTTGGATTCTCTGGAGGTTCTGTTCAAAGGTCACACTCTGGTGACGGGAACTCTGCGTAGGCAAATGATCTCCCTTTTCAAGCCATGACTCAACACTGTTTCTCTCAGACCCAAAAGCCCACTGATTAGGGGAATACCCTTGAATCTGATGCAACCGATTTTTCGCTCCAAGTGCTAAGCTGAGTAGCTCATCTGGCTCCAGATCGGGAGATTGAGACAAGGCCAAAACTGACATCGTGTCCTTCAAGGTGGCTAAGTGCCGACTGTGTCTGCCAACCTGCCAAGGGGCTTCACCTGCAGCATACTGAACACGAACATCTTGGCTTTCCAACCATTCAACCAGGCTAACATCCCGAAAGGCACCCTCAGTGTCAAACCGAATAAACTTGGGTTGAGGAAACACCCGCAACCAATGTTTGTGAAGAGCCTGCTTGAACTCAGGTCCAGTGACACTGCCCAAATTCTTGCCGCCAGTTCGAATGATGCAACCAGTATGATAGTTAGTCATTTCATCCATGATAGAAACGCCAACAGCTTGAACCACGGGATTACCCTTGGAATCACGATGAGGGCTATACCACCAAAAAGTATCAACCGAAATGACTTCCCACTTATATCCACTTATCATTAGGTCTGGTCACACCCGAGGGTCTATGCATTTCGGCATGACCCCTTCTCCGGCAAAAGTCGCATTCAAAATTCCGAGCAGCTTCGATGATGTCGGCTCGTGCATTGGCATCTTTCAGCATACGGCATAACACCTGATTGGAAGGATGTCCTAAGTTGGCATGGATGGTTCGAAGCCTGGCACGAATCTTATCTGGACCCCACGCATCGGGAGGATCCTCGGCCTGATCACTTTCCTTTGAGTCAGCTACAGGTTGACCCTGATTGGCTGGTTCATCCAAAATGGAAGGCTCATACTCATCAGCATCTTCAGCATTGTCAACTACACGATCCAACTGATCACGATCACTAGGTAACTGACCACCCTCGTGAACAAAGATGCCAGACTGTTTCACATTGTTCATGATTTCTCCAAATTGAATGGACGAAGACATGAGAGTCCTAGCAAACGCACGGCACAACTGTTCGGGATACACAGCAGTGCCAGAGGTGATGTCACCTTCTATCAGGTCATGATCACTAGGTTTGTGTTGACAAGTTCTTTGTAACACTTGACGGATGTGTTCACTGCTGGAGAACCAACCCCATGATTTTTGAAGGAGGTGACCAGTTTTGGGATTCTTCATTCCGAACATGCAACCATCACACCGAAAACGGCTACCACAAAGCTGCAACATATGGCGAACAGAAGGTTCCTTCCATGACATGGCCCGTAAGGGTTGTTCACCTCCAGCATCCCCGCGAATCTCCTGCCTCTGCATAGCGACAATCTTGCGGCAATTCTTCAGAATGCGTCTTCCATATTTTTGCTTTTCAATCAGATTCTGCACCTGATCCTGAGTCCTTTGATTGGCGTTTTGCATGATGGACCATGGATCACATGGAGGGGATATGTGAACATACCTAGGCCTCACTTGTTTCAACCGTTTGAGGGCTTTGACACAACCAGATTTGGTGGACAAATCATACCCATTGTGACAACCCCATCTTTCAACCGTACCACCAGCATCAATCACAGCCTGAGAAAGGGGAGAATCCCAAGGAGCACATATTTCAACCAAGTCAACCCTTCTACCGAGTTCCCTATAAACAGACAAAACATTGGTTTCATACTCGCGAGTCACCTGAGAAAACCACAATTGTTGACCACGACTCAAACAACACTCACAACTATCGCCACTTGGTTCAACATCAACAGAGTGTTTGCAATCTGAAGACTCCGGCTCTGTACACGAAGATTTGAAAGGACGGACATGCATGATCTCTGAATTACGGGCTGGACAACTCTCGGCACTCGGCGGTCCACTCAGACTGTGTTCCAGCGACACAGACTGGTGGTGCTGTCCCTAGTGTGGCACAGCTGATGGACGGTTCGCAAAGGCTTCGCAGTGCGACTCACTACCATTTCCATTGTTCTCAGGAACAGCAACATCATTGGAAACACTTTGAGGATCAAAAGAGGTCATGGGCAACAGAAGATGGTTGGTACTTGCACGTTCCAACTTCAGATTTTCATCTCCCAGAAACTTGAAGGAGGCTTCACCAGTTCGAAAATTGATGACAGCTTCATGTTCTTCCAACCATCTTGAACTCAACAGCATCGGTGTCTGACCTTCGACGACGTGCACGGGAATCCGGAGATTATGTCCCGCAATTCCGGCAGTGATCACAGCATAACCTAGAGCTTGCGATGTCTCATTGTTGCCAAACACGAATGACCGACGGTGCATGCGGTCAATGCTGATTTCAAGATCGGGGTCCAGACCATGTGCCACATATTGATCATACAAGGTTTGCAGAGTAAAGGCTCCAATGATGGACTCACTAGCCCCACAATCCAAAATTGCCTTCGTGTTGATCTCATCAGTGAGAGCTGCAAAGTTTGGTTCATGAAGAGGATAGATCTCATCTGTTGAAGCCCATGTCACCCTATCTGCAATCCAATGGTCGTCAGCGGCAGTCTGAGCAAAAACAAATCCAACGCGTCCGGCATCCGCACCCTTTCCACCGGATGGTCCGGGGGACACCGCACTGGAGGATAGGCTTTGCTTACACTGCATCGCTTTGTGACCGATCTTCCCACATCTCATGCAGCGGCCTTGAAACCCTTTGTTGGCCCCTTCTTTTCCTTTTCCTTTTCCCGATGGATAAAACCCACGAGCAACCCTGTGTTTGTCCAGTGCCCGTCGAGCCTCCTTGTAGAAGTTCTTGCGAGCTTCCTGGAAATTGGCCAGGACTGCAGGGTCTGTTGGCTGATCAGCCAGGGCGGTCGATGCCTGGTCAAACCAAACCTGACTTTCCTCCAGATCATCTTCGGAGTCATTGGGCTCACCATCCTGTGTGTTCATCCAAGCTGTCTCATGATCCTCATAGGGCTCATCTGTCCATGATGATTCAGCAGTAGCAACAAAAGTCTTGGTTGCGCTAGGTCCCTTCCTTTTCTCAGCGTCACGCTTGCTAAGGCTGTCGCCACCCCACATCTTCCGCATTGCTATCAACACATCATCCAGTTTGTACGAGGCCGTCTGAGCCTTTACCATGGCGATGTCTGTAGCATCTAAGCGAAACAACTTGTTAATGGCAAACCAACCATAGATCTCAGAAGGAACAGTGTTTGTGCAACCATTTTCCACCATTGCCTTGGTGATGTCACGGATGTAGGCCCCATGCCTTTGTTCGAAATCATTCAGATTTTCGCCTTCCTTTCGGAAGCAATCAGGATTTTGGAAGTACTGCTGCAAGGAATCACCTAAGAGGTCCACTTCTTGCTTACCCCTACGTTCCTTGAGGAATTTCAGGAGGTACTCAACCCCGTCAGCCTTTCGCAGAGCTTCACGGTCTATGTCGAGGACACACTCCCATGCCCGGTCTGTCAAGTTCCGAACCAGGCGATTTTCCAGCAGGGACTTCTCATCAGTCTTACAGCCATCCAATTCCAATAGACAAGCGAATCTGAAATCGGAGAACGTTTTCCAGTCACCATTCCATGTCGGTAGCTTAGGATTGATGTGGTCGCTAGATCCACTCGAAGCAGCCATTACGAATCACCCAGATTTCAACAGGATACCCAAAGCAGGATCGATCAGGCTCCGCTGCCAGTGTTGGTTTCACTGACAGCGGGCAAATAGAGAAACCAGATACTGGTCTGAACGAAGTTTGACACCTAGGTAAAGCTAGATTGGGATCACCACCAACCCAAGACCATGGCGCACGGGTTTTCACACCACTACGAACCGTCTCAGCTGTGCAAGAGTCGCACAGCACTTGATGGATCCGAAATGCCACCCGCAAAATGGATGGGAAACTGATCTCAACTGACATGTCACGGCAAAAGCTTGATTTCAACACATGGGTACCCCCATTTTAGGAAACCTTCGCAGGGTTTACCAACAAGAATTCAGGGGGGTCCTGTAAATGTTCGCTTCAAGCACTTCTGGGACAATGGAGTCTGGGATGGTCTGGGTCAAAATTCAACAGCCAAAGCTGGATAATTGTTTACTCTTCACATTTTGAAAATGAACATTGTTGCAAGATGAGTCAAGATGTTCGTAGGTGGAAGCTGGGATTTCTCAAATTAATTGGGAATGCCGACCACGAAAATGCCGTATAAGTATAATATAGTACGATAATAGATGGTAAAAACATGTAAACACCATAGTTTCCAGCGTATGTTCCCTTCAACCAACCCAGTGCTCCTTAGATTTTCCTTCAACCATTCCCCATTGAAAGCCAGTTTAGCAGCTTAACACCAGTGAAGTCATGGAAGCGCCTTTGCGCAGAATCAGTTCGAGCTCTTTGGCATCGATGTACCTGCAAAAATCTGGGGATGGTTCGATGAGCAGCGTAACATCATCAGCGTAACATGAACGTTAACATCCCACCCCACCCCACCCCAACCCATGTTTGCTCAAAAATGTCATGTTCCTATGGAGTCGCTAATGTGGCCGTGAGCTTAAACATGGATGGTAGCTGTTGGGAGCTGCACAAAATTGGCGACTGGTGACTGGACTAAGAGTGGTTGTAAAGAGCATCCTTCTGTGGTACATTGACACGATGTTTCAGAACCCAGCTATACGTATATATGAATATACAATATGTTGGTGCACATAAACATATTTTTAAAAATACATCTACAATTTACATCACAATTGTGGTACTGCACCCATTTCTGTGCCATGTGTCATGAGATCCAGTCCTCATGTGCACAAGCCGCCCATGGAGAGCTCACGACATCCGAGTTCATGTTGTCTTCCAAGTGTCGGCTGTAATTTCCAGCAATCGGCCAATGGTAAGTCAGATCATCGGAAAACCTAAGCCACACATTACAAAGCAGTAGGCTTTGGAGTCAAAATGTTGTAACTGTTCCACAGATTTCCACAGTTTCGCAAATCTAAAGGCTGGATTTGCAGATACCTTGATCCAAAGGCAGAAAGACGCCAATGCCATGGTTGCAAGTCCCTGTCACAGACATTTCGCACCGAACCCCTGGCACCTGCCTGATAATCAACAGTCGCTGTCACCTTTTTTCGGCAAGGTGTAGAGGTTTAGCATGGTTTAGCGATCCATGGCGATCCTACAAACTTTTCAGATGCGATCTTCCAGTTCTTTCAATAGCGAGAAAAAATGAGAAACATATGCTCTACCTGTGTTGGTTTGGGTCGTTTCACCGCTTGAAACATCATTGGCGTACCTAAGCCAATGTGTTTTATGGTGCGCTAGCTTCCGAAATCGGTCGAAAAAACGCGGACGTGCAGGACTTCAACAGCATCAAGAGTAGTGTCCAGGACAAACATGATCCCACCCCGCCCGGTCTCCTTGCTGTTTACTTGGAATTCTCGCCCACTAAATCAAACGACAATTACATATATATATATAATTATTATTATTATTATGAAAAGCTTGGGAGGTAACCTGTGCTCTCTCAATCTTTTCACCGGCACTCTTCGAGGATCAAGTCTAGCTACGCCGCTGTAAGTGTTAACAGTCCACATTGTTATGAAATAACAATGGGTCAGAAAGAGGTTGGGTATCACAGATAACCCTTACACTCTTTAGATAGTTAGGGTCAAAGAACATCTTTGGACACCTACCAAACCCACACCAAACAAAAGTAATGGAGGGGGCTGGAAACCCAACAAAGCCCCCCCCCCCATCACCCCGCAGAGGGGATCAGGGAGAGGAGGGAGGGAGAAAAACCAGCAGAGGGGACAGGCTGGATGGCTTGAGCCAAAATGGTTCAAGACATCCAGCTGTCCCCCTAACTTTTCAAATCACATGAAGACCCTTCCCAACCAACCTACTCACATGTAAGATAAGAAAAGATTGGGAGGTAACCTGTGCTCTCTCAATCTTTTCACCGGCACTCTTCGAGGATCAAGTCTAGCTACGCCGCTGTAAGTGTTAACAGTCCACATTGTTATGAAATAACAATGGGTCAGAAAGAGGTTGGGTATCACAGATAACCCTTACACTCTTTAGATAGTTAGGGTCAAAGAACATCTTTGGACACCTACCAAACCCATCGTTAATATCCTCACCCACTGTTAACACTACCTATCGGCGCAGCTAACTGGGCTAAGAACGTAGCCGGATCGCTAAGAGGAGGGAAAGAAAACTCTTGGACGTGCCACGGTTGCGTGGCAGTCCATTCATCTAACAACCCGAGCCTCGACAAGCCGTCAGCGGGATTAGAGGCCGAGTCAATCCATTCAATCCAGGTCCTCATTCGAAGGTCATTGAACTGAAGGTGAGCTTGCTGGACCAGGATCAGGACATCGGGTTCGGCCGTAGAAGCGCGGATCAAAGCGCTGACAGCGGATTCGTTGTCAAAGAACCACAGGACATCTGCATTGCAGAGAACTGTGGGACACAGCGCCGGGACCACCACAGCTGCTAGCGTCTCTCCTGGATAAATCTGCTGAGTCCGTGGCTTCCAGTGGGCAATAACCGATGGGGGAACAACACAGGTTCCACCCACCGGCACTGAGGTCGGAGGGAAAATGACCCAGCCCAACCGGAGGATACCGTCCTCGAAAGACGCTAGACGCGTGTCACCTGGGCACATTGAAAGTGAACTGGAATGTCACGGGGCTTGGAGCTAAGCACTGCCAAACGAAGGACTTCAAGCTGGCGTCGCTCATCAGGTTGGAGAAGCGAGCTGTCACCGAATTGGTGGGCAGTCAGCGCCGGCCCAGCAAGCTTGCCTAGATGACCTGAACACATAGTGAACAGCCAGGTGACGTCACCCCGAAGTTTGCCAGCATCATCGCGCGAGAGCTGGCCAGAACTCAAAATTTGATCTAATTTGGCTAAGACCTTGCTGACAGTAGTGGCTTTGGGTTGAACCCGAACCACACCTCGATCATTGACATCACCTGTGTGAACGGAGGTGCCCAAGTAATGGCGATTGGGTGTCGGTTTGAAGCCTTTCTCCGGCTGAGGAGGGGCACCCATAAGTTGGAACACGAGCCGTAGGCCAACTTGAGAAACATCAGCGTCTGCAACAGCTTCCAAGGCAAGCTCATCGTCGAAATAGGCTGCTCCCATACTGAGCACACAGCGCCTGGCTATGGCGATGCCAAGTTGAGGGAAACGGTTGAAAGAGACAACCGCACTCTCAAGGCCAAATGCAAGGCCCCAGAGCACTGTAAACCTCCAGCCACAGTCCGGGACGAAAATGGCCACGATGGAGAAGCGCTGGTGCGGCTCGCACACTGGTAGGCCCCTGTAAGCGTCAGGAAGGTCATCTGTCCCCAAACGGAGTCGGAGCCAGTCCGGCACGTTGCCGGTGGAGGTATGCGTTGTGAGGCGCTTGCACAAGGAGGCGGCCACGGCAGCCACAAAATCAATGCTGACAGTGAAGATAGTCTCCTGCATACTTGTATGGGCATTGTGGTGAGTTCGCCTGCCATTGTCAATCATCCTCTTCTTGTTGTCAGCCTGAACGATCTGAAAGCGTTCCAACGGCCTCCAGGCATTCGGGCCGAACATGCGGTCCATGGCAGCTCGCGTATATAAGGGAGAACAGAAGCCCTTCTGCTGTTCAGCCAGGGTCTGCTCAAGGATGTCCGCAGCATGCCGAGGGGGCCTGCTCTGCACCAACGCATCCACAATGGCGCCAGCATCAACAAGCCATTGGTCCAGCGGCTCGACTTCCTTAGCTGCAATAGGCCGGAACAGGCCAGATGGTTCGATCTCCCCCACAATAGGGTAACCAGTCACCAAACACTGGCCTTGAGTCAGGTCAGGCCAGCGCAGCAGTATGGTCAGCGCCGCGATGAAAGCAGGACGTTTCGTCGCTGCGACCCGGCGAGCACTCTCAGAGCGCCACTGGGCGAGCGCATCCTCGAAAGGACTGAGAGCCAGAGCGACGGACTTCAACACCTGTCGCAAGCGCCTGGCATATGCTGGGAGGTACTGTCGCCAGACACAAATAGCGTCGACCACAAACATCACGTCCTGCTCGGGCCAATCGGTCGGTTGAAAGGGCGAGGGCAGCTGGGAGGAAGCTTCCATGTGACCCAGCTTGCCCAGGCCAGGGACCAAAAGGTGATCCAAACCTTTGGATGAATCGGCCGCATGCCGCTGGCCAGCATGCCGCTGGCCAGTCAAGCCACTGTAAACTCTGGCCCCATCCATCCGAGTCATGTGCTGGGGGCCCATGTCATCCACCGGCAGGCCTCGAAGCTTGCACCATGCCATGTAACCTTGGAGCTCGGTTAGCTGACAGTGCTCCAATCTCCTCAAAACGTCGGCGACGAGGCCTGGAGAGAACACACAGTGTGGAAACAGGCCTGGTAGCTCGTTGGCAACATCAGAGGCCGACACCAGCTGGGGAAAGTGCCGTAAGCGGCCGGGCTCCCAGACCGTGTTCTGCACTCGTTCATGGAGGGACAATTCATCGGCAGGCGACAGGTGTGGCACGACCTTGGCCTCAAGCAGCTGAGGGAGGAAGCACAGGACGGCCAGCACAGAGAAGACATGAAAGCCATTGCCAATGAGGCTGTTCTGTCCCTGTCGTTTCAATGGTGCATCACCAGGCACAGAATCAAAACTACCTGGGGGAACGCCCATCATTTGGGCACGTTCAGATGGCAATGGTTGCCGCCACTGCTGGTCCTTCCACAACAAGGAGCGCTCCTCATACGCCGAGGGAGGAAACCGCCGGGCATCGGAAAGGAAGCGTTCCACCGCTGCAGCTGACGAACTCGCCGTCCGGTCAGTGGGATGGAAGAATTCCCTCGTGAAAGGATGCATAGCGCCCGCGCCCCCAGATTTGACCACTGTCTTGGGGTCTAACAGCTAACAAAGGTCCAAAGCCCTGGTGAAAGAAGCATTTGTTGGGGAGTGGTTTCTCGCCCACGTAGGCCAATGAAGGCACTCCACTATCTTGTGGGACCCAGTCCCAACAAGCCGGCGGTGCGAGGCACGGGGCGATGGATCTGCTCGTAGAAACCAACCAGTACAGGCGACGGCGTTGCACCCATCCACAAGTGGCGCTATCAATCAAGATAGGGTCACCACCAAGCCATGAGCTGCACGCCCTCCTGACATCTGAAGGCATGCTGCCAACGTTTTCCAAAAACACCACAAGCTCTCGATCCACCATCTCGGGGAGGGCCAAAAATTCGTCTCGGAGTCGCCTCAGCTCCAAAGGTTGGCAACTCCTGGGATCATCCAGCCCTTTCCGGCCCACATTCAGAGATGAGTTACCTTGGTAAGGGCTGCCCCCACCCATCAGGACGCCACGTATGTTGCGGCGTTGTAGGATTGGCTGAAAGGCTTGGGCAGTGAGGGCTTCAACCCGCTCCACGTGGACAATGTTGGGCATATTCTCATGAGCTACTCGGCGGGCATCAGCGTCACACTCAGCTGCCGCTGCAAAGAAGTGCATGCCCAGTTGCAACAAAGCCACACACAAACCTGAATATCCGGCCCACAAGTCCAGGACCAGCCAAGTGCCACGAGGTGGCGAGGTCCAAGGCACTTGGGCCAAATCGCCCCGACCACGCCAAGTGACTGGCTTGGCCCCATGCAAGCGCTGGCTCAGCTCAGCCGGCAAAACTGCCGAGGTTGTCCCCGGCTCATCATGCAACAAAACTGTTCGGTGCGGCTCCCAGGACTCAGCAGGGGGCTGGTCCTGGGGCTGTGGCTCCGAGGGGGCCATCATCCCAGCCTGAGGTGCTGCAGGAGCATGTGAAGGTTCAACTGCTGTCAAAGGCAAAGGACGACCCCCCCGGGACCCAGTCCCTAGGGGGTGCTGTCCCTAGGAAGCGTGATGCTCGAGCCTCGTGTGCTTCTTGCTCAAGCACGGGCCCCCTTCATCCATGCGCACATCGCAGCAGTGCAAGGCTTGGCACTTCGGGTCAGTGCATCCCCTGCCATCATTCCAAGGTTTGCAGATCTTTTGGCCTCCTTTGATTTGGCTCACCGTGCGAAAGGAGTCGCCCTTGACCTGTCTCTTCCGGTCAGTGGTCGGCGCTGGTGGTTCAGGGGGCCTCTTGCCCTGCTTTGACTCAGGAACCTCAGCTAAGGGCTGCACGGCAGGCGACCGCCATTCGAGGTGTGTGTCACGCAAGGCGCTGTCCAAAGCCCATTGCCCAGGCTGGCCACGCCTGACGTAAGTGGCCATTTTTCCCCTGGTCAGGGAGTCGTTGCGTTGCAACCAAAGCAGGCTGCCTCCACCGAATTCCATGGTGTCCTTGAGGGCCCTGTCGCAGTAGTGCAAGGCGCAGGACAGATCCATGAAGAGGACGCTCTGTTTGTCCACCTGCACCAAGTAGTTCCCAGCCCAGCCCCACGCATGAGCCAACACCCGCATGGCAAAGTAGTAGTCTGTCACTGAGCGGAGGCTCACAGAGACCTCCTTCTCCAGCTGCAGTTGCAGACCGCCAGGCAAAGCGATCGAGTCACTGTGCTTCGGTTGGGCCATGGTGAGCACCGATCGGACCTTCTTCATGTCGACAACCGTCATGGTGCCCTTCTTGAACTCACGATAGACGCGGGCTCGAAGCTGCTCGGAGGGCTCAAGCACGGAGTCAAACTGCAAGTTGTAGCGACGCGTCCAATCCGTGTTCAACTGCTGCACTGTGCTGTCAGGGAGAGCCTCATCAAGGTCCTCAGTCTTCGGGGCCGATTGAGCCACATGCTTAAGGGCCTGTTGGCCTGCTTCATAAGCGCTCTTGAACCGCGCTTCCGCGATGCGGTTGTCCTTCAATTCAGGGACTTGGGACAGCAAGTCACCCAGTGACTGCTCCCAGTCGCTGGCCTTAACCATGTACGAAGTCATCCAAGGTCAAAACCTGGTGGACCTTCGTGTAGGCGGCCGTCCAGTCAGCCTTGAGGTTCGCCCCAGCCCAACATGCTGCAAGCCCTTTGTCGTCCTGGTGCACGTCAATGCGCGACATGGTGAACGTCGGAGCTCGGGCCACAAAATTGCTAGTAGTCACAAACACATCAACCTGGCAAGCGGGCATGAAGTACAACTGACTCCCCCCAGACCCTACTTAACCAGAGATCAAAAAGAAAATGGGGGGTGACGCCAACACACTGCACACATCAAAGAGGTGGCAGGCGCTGACTTTTTTAACCCGTCATCTGTCAATGGAGCCATTGGCAATGCTCAGCCAAGGCCAAATATAGTCCCCTAGGGAGACGCCCAAGACAGCGCTGGCATATGTCAGCCCTCGGCGTCAACGTGAAGCCCCGTCCACGCTCAGCTGGGTCCTGCCTGAAGGCAAAGTCACGGCACCACGGAAAACTGCACGTCCTTCCACTTCTTCTCGAATGAGGTGCACTTTCTTGCCCTGCCGGAGCCAGCTAAGGTCCTCTGGGGCGCTGCTATCTGCCAGCACGCCGCACAAGTCCTGGGCGTCAGCAGATTGATCCGAAGCAGAGCTGGACTCATCGGTCGAAGCCTCTGAGCTCGAAGATGCGGTGGCTTTCAGGGGCAACTCAACTGCCTGCTCCGGCTCAGGCTTCTCCACGCCATCCAGACCACCAGGGTCGACTTCAATTGCGCCCAGGGTAGCGGTCTGGGCCAGCGGCGTCAACTCTTCAGGCAGGCTCTGATGGAGCGCTGCTACTTCCGCCCATTGCCAGGCATCTCGACACAGGTATCCCTGCTCTGTCATGGCAAGCTCGGGTCGCTTGCGATGGTACAAGGCCAGCAGGCGGTCGACACAACGCTGCTTGACTTGGAGCGACCGAAGCACTTTGGAGCCAGCATAGTGGACGCCCATTGGCAAGACCCCTCGGGGCTTCCTTGCAGAGGGGTCCCGGCCACCTCCTGCAGGGAGCTCAGTCCAGTTGCCAATGGACTGAAGGTCCAAGTCTGGCAGTTCCATCACATTCGCCATTGTCGGCATGAAACGCCTAAGCTTGTTGAACGTCGCAGCTTGGGCTTGGGCAAAGTCAACACCCACTTGCACCAGGGCACCCCGCATCACCTCTAAAAAGCGTGCCCGGGACATCGGCTTGTTGGTGATGAACGGCGTCGCCTCTGTGATCTCCCAGAGATCCTCGGCTTCGAGGGCAAGCGCTGGCAGGAGGAACTTGTGACCCTGGTTGAACTCGTGGGTGAAGAACTCCTGCAGCACCTTTGTCATGTGCTGTCCATTCATAGTCACCTGTGGGACTCCCCAGTGGTACCCAGGGCGAGCTCCTTGCTTTCTCGCTTTGCCCTGCGAGCATTCAAATTCCACCCAAGCACCATGAAGTCGCACCAGGTGGGATCGCTGCACATGTTCGAAACGAATGCAGCCCGTCGCCACCATCAGGATGAAGGCCACCAGAACCTTGTGGGAACCCTGGACACGGGTCATAAGGATGGCCAAGTTGATGAACTCCCAGGGTTCAAGTTCAGGTGCTTGTTTGCCAGTATGGTGGACGGCATGGAATCGGGTGCTTCACCGCCCAGTGCTCCATGCTGAAGGCCGCTCCAAAGTTGTCGGCGAACCAAGGCAGCGAAGCATGCATGCTGGAGGCCGCAGTAGGTCCACCTGAGGATACCTCCCTCAAGAAATCGGCAATGACCAATGGGCCAGGCTGCAGCGCGTCATGGGCATGGGCAGCACAGTACTTCAGCCATCTCTTCAATGCCGAGGAGAGGGCCCCCAGTCTCTGCCCAGAGAGCCTGGAGGCCCCTGTCATGAGGGTGTTCTTGAAGGCTTGACGAGCCATGGGATCCGCCAGCTTGGCCGGAGTCATCTGCAGCTCAGCCAGGTCCACCACGTTTTCAACTACTAAGACAAAAAGCTGGTCCAACTTCGCCTGCTTCATGGCGTCCTCCCTCGCGAAGGCGTCCACTGTAGCAGCATGCGTCACCATCGGTGCATGCAAAGGCGCCTGAAGGCCAGACGGTGTAAGCTTCCGGACCTTGTTGGACGGTGGGCCATCAGGCACCTGGGCAGGGGCGGCAGCCATAGTGACAGTTCGAGGTGGGCCACCCACGCTCGATTGTCGTTCTCTGGCAATCTCCAGGCCCAACGCCTCTGTAGCTTGCAAACTGCATCGCCTGGCATTGGTCCATGCCACCGCCACTTTCATGGCCCCTTGAGCCTCCATCTTCTCCCCCGTAAGAGCTTCCAGCTCCTCATAACATTTCTGGGCTGACGGCCAAAAGTGGTGGAAGTCCCCAGGTGAGCGGATGCCCAACCCGAAGATGGCCTCACGGACGCTCTCTGGGAGCTCGCCCAGGACTCGCACAAGGCTGGGGTCCATGCTATCGTCCTGGCCGTTGTCCACATTGGATGAAGGCCATGAGCTCCTCGATGTTGAAGGTACCGTCTCGGTTCCGCGGCACTTCACCTGCTGGGATCTGCACAGGGGCGTCGAGGCGGATGAACTGGCCCCGCTCATCGTGAAACCCAGTGACTTCGATGATTCCCTCCTGGCCGACCCGCTCGACATCGGAGTAGAGGTGGCCTGCTTCCAGGCAGGCGTGGCAGAGAAGCCTCCCCTGGTCGCACGTAGTGCACACTGCCGTCGGTGTGCCCGTGCACCCCTCGCAGTAGCACCCAGTCCACTCCCGGCAATGGGTGCACGGCTGGCCACCAAGGTCCCGGACCTTAATGGCCGCCTTATAGTGCACCACCGCAAAGGCTTCCTTGGCGCCTTTGATGACCAGGCGCTCGAAGCGCGTGAGCTTGGCAGCTGCCGCGCCAGGATGGGCCCGGAAAAACTCCAGTGCCCTGCTCTGCCAGCCCTTCCAGTCCACCACTGCCAAGGCCATAAGAAAAACCAGCAGAGGGGACAGGCTGGATGGCTTGAGCCAAAATGGTTCAAGACATCCAGCTGTCCCCCTAATTTTTCAAATCACATGAAGACCCTTCCCAACCAACCTACTCACATGTAAGATAATATTATTATTGTTATAACATATATTATAACATATATTATAACATATATTATAACATGTTAGAACATATTATATTAAAACTAAATTCCATAAAAACTGCATTGAAGTGAGAGATTGGTGGCTGCGACTTTGCTTCTTGACCCGCTATTCCTATTTTTTTCGATGGCACTTTTTTTTCGGCAGGTTGCAACTGCTTCAGTCTCTGCTTGAAATCCGCAGCTGTTGTTCACCTGCCAGGGCACAACGGAGAGACTGGTAGACGGATGATGCTGTTGAAATGCTCAAATCAATGGCTACAATCTGTCCAAAATCAGAAGCCAGGTGGATCAGCAGCTCTGCATGTTTTTTCTGCGCTTCAAAGCTGTGTTGCTTTCTAGTAGGCCTCTCAAATTTGAAAGAATTTGAAATTAGTGCTGCAGTTTCCTCAAGAAATCTCAAGGAATATACTGGAATTTCACTTGATCACTGCAACCTCCCACTCCTACAGATCCATTAGATCCTAAAGTGAACAGCCCAGCACATGGAGTGGGACCCAAGAAGTCCAATAAAAGTTGCAAGAGGTTGTTGCTTTTGGGGGGTTGGGGGAAGGACAAGAACGTGGTAAAAGCCACAATCTCACACTCAGCACTCACATTGAAAATCTGCAACACGAACTGGTCATCAGAAACATATTCCCCAAGGCCAAAGCCAGCTTCATTCGTGAGGACTCGAACCGAGGTTGCTTTCGATTCGTTGTTGCACGATAGCCCACTGATGCAACCAGTGACTAGGCCTCCAACGTCTCCCAAGAGGAGATCAGTTCCTCCTGGGCCTATAGGAATAGGGGTGTTCGGGAACGAAAAAGAAAAATCCCCACTTGTGCATGAGGAGGAGGGATCCTGGCGTCGGCGTTCTAGCGCTTCCTTGATTTTCTTGATCTTCCATATCTTCTTCCACGGGAAGCCTTCTTGGGTGCTTTGTTCCTGCAAAAGCCCTGGAGAATTTGGATCCAGAACATCGAACACTTCCTCCGTACCATCCTCATACTTGAAGATGATTGTGACGGTGCCGTCCTCATTGAGCTTGTAGATGTGTTCCACTACAACCTTGTCGTCGAGTTCATTTTTGGTTGTCTGCTTCCCCATGACTTGAATCGAAGCAAATGCATCCGAAGCTTCAGGTTGCGGTGGCAAACCACAGGTTTCGGACACACATCCCTCGCACAAAGAAACGAAAGGCTGCAGCGACAGCAGCACCCACAGCATCATTCTCGCCGGGTGAGTCTGCGTTTACCGATAGGGTATCAACTTGGGACTGAGGCTTGAGCCAGCATTGCGGAAGTAACAACAGCTTTCCGCACAGCCATACAGAGATTCTTCCACATTCTGCCTCGCCAACACTACGCTGAGGCACAAACACTTTGCACAAGAGGAAGACGGTCCATGCACAAGTCACAAAGACATTTCCAAGATCGAAGGAATGCAATGGCATTTTAAAAAACTTAAGATACATGCAATGCGCAAGTTCCATTCAATCCCTGTCTGCCCCTTCCACCAAATGGACCAGCCTCTGTTTTGATGTTGTCGTTGTCCCAAGCAAGGCGGGGCATTGATCAAAAATGTGGGTAATCATCCTGTTGGAATATTTGGTAGATGGTATCGGGATCTTTGTGAATGTCTTTGCTGCTCTTTTTTCGAGGTTGTTTTTGTGCGGGCGAAATGGATTAAGGGGTAGTGAAAGGCTTGGCACTTGCCTTCGAAATGGATTTTGGGGTGTGCCAAAGTTCATGAATTCTGGTCTTCGGATTGTGGGTAGTGTATCACGCTGTTCTGAAATGATTATCAAAATTGGGTATGGGAAATGGACAACCCCTACGCAAGCAACGTATATCCGCAGTGAATTGTATCTGTTCAACAAGCTTGGTGAACTTACAGGGACCAGTCCTTGTTCTTTGAATGGCTGCGGTCCTGCGGTGTTGTTTCCCCATGGCAGTTGTGTTTGCACATGTTTGCACAGTCTGCAAGATGGTTACAGAAGAGTTTCCGGAGTTTACCTTTCTCATTCAGTGCGACTTCGTTTGGAAGGCAACATTTCTGCTGCAATTGCTGCTCAACTTTGCCATCAACATGTACCTGAAACAGAACGGCCTGACCTATGACTTCCGCGCTCATGCTCTCGAGTAGCTTTCAGCTTACACGACAGGGAAGGTCTCAAGGGTTCTTTCTCTGCTACAGATGTCTTCCTGATCTAACTCAAGTCAGCATCGTTCTATCTGTCTTTTCATACCATTTGACGAACAATTTCACATCCCAGCCTTAGCCCAGGGTAGATCAGCGCTTTTCACATCTTGCCAGTCGATTCTGGGACGCGGTTTGGACGGCCTTTTCAGCCATCTAGCTATGAAGCAACGTCAGTGACAGCACACCATGGCTTGGTGATGGACCAACATCCGTTCGAATACTTGGGATGATCTTCCTAGTGATAAGGATCTTAAATCAAGATGTGTTTCTTTTTGATGTTGTTTAAAATCTTTGAAATGCTTTGAAACCACCAACCAGATAAAATGCTCTCAGCTTGGAAAGCAGCGGCAAGCCTCACCAAAAAAAGGCCCAGTCGCGAGTCGCGGCTAGCATCGATGCCGCGCGTGCTATGCGTAGATTCGCCTCTATATGTTTTTACTATCTACATTTATCTATGTACAAAATGATAATTCACCCATCTATAATACATCTATATAATTAGTCACCAGTTAACCTGAAAGAAGGCTAGTTTGGGACGTCGCAGGCTTCGGTCGTTATAATCTGTTCAGTGTTTATGTATACTGTATACCTGGATAATAAAAACTAATAGGCCATCGATAATTTAGCTGGTGATTCTTAATTCCCAATGTCGACCTAGAATTGAGCTTAAGTGAATCCTACGCTGTGAAACGGCGCAACTCAAAGCTCTAGGCTCGCTCCGCGTTTCACAAAATTCACGAAGTCCTGCGGATCTGAGGGCAACGGGGTGCCAATGGAGCCAATAGATCTTGGCCACATCATGTTTGATGGTCTAAAACCGCTTAAAAACTTTATAACTGATGGTGAAATCCCCATGAAATCATCGTTTTGGGATCTGAAACAACCAATTTTGGGGGGGATCCTAAAATAGGGGTACCCCCAAAGTATCCACCACAAAAGGATGTTCCATTGTCCGCCGACCCCGGCCTTCGCCAAGGCCGGGGCGGCGCCTGGGACCACCGCAGGTGTGGAACTTTTCCGCGCACATAGCCCTCTCTCGTTAGGGCATTCGAGGCAGCTGCCACCACGCCCTCTGGCCGGCAGCCTTTGCTGTTCCAGGGTTGCAGCCTGCCCTTTGCCTGCACATCCCTCGCGGCAGCTGCCACCTCGCGGCAGCTGCCACCAAGCCCTCTGGCCGTCAGCGTTCCAGCATTGCAGCCTGCCCTTTGCCTGCACTGAGCCCTCTCTTGTTCCCCAACAAGCCCAACACGCGCCACTGCCGCACGCAAAAGCCACCACAAGGCCACAGCAATGGCTCAAGGGCACCCCACGGCCGCAGCAATGGCTTCTTATACGCGTTCAAGGCTCCCGCTTCTTATACGCGTTCAAGGCTCCCGTTTGCCAGGCCTCCAACGCTCCAAAACCCTCCAAACCCTCCAAAAGTCCGGCCAGCTCCGCAAGGAAAAGGTACCCCAACAAGCCCAACACGCGCCACTCCCGCACGCAAAAGCCACCACAAGGCCACAGCAATGGCTCAAGAGCACCCCACGGCCGCAGCAATGGCTTCTTATACGCGTTCAAGGCTGCCGTTTGCCAGGCCTCAAACGCTCCAAAACCCTCCAAAACCCTCCAAACCCTCCAAAAGTCCGGCCAGCTCCGCAGGGAAAAGGTACCCCAACAAGCCCAACACGCGCCACTCCCGCACGCAAAAGCCACCACAAGGCCACAGCAATGGCTCAAGGGCACCTTCCGGCCGCAGCAATGGCTTCTTATAGGCGTTCAAGGCTGCCGTTTGCCAGGCCTCAAACCCTCCAAAACCCTCCAAACCCTCCAAAAGTTCGCATAGCTCCGCAGGGAAAAGGTACCCCAACAAGCCCAACACGCGCCACTCCCGCACGCACAAGCCACCACAAGGCCACAGCAATGGCTCAAGGGCACCTTCCGGCCGCAGCAATGGCTTCTTATAGGCGTTCAAGGCTGCCGTTTGCCAGGCCTCAAACCCTCCAAAACCCTCCAAAAGTCCGGCCAGACCCCAACAAGCCCAACACGCGCCACTCCCGCACGCAAAAGCCACCACAGCAATGGCTCAAGGGCACCCCACGGCCGCAGCAATGGCTTCTTATACGCGTTCAAGGCTGCCGTTTGCCAGGCCTCAACGCTCCAAAACCCTCCAAACCCTCCAAAAGTCCGCATAGCTCCGCAGGGACAAGGTACCCCAACAAGCCCAACACGCGCCACTCCCGCACGCAAAAGCCACCACAAGGCCACAGCAATGGCTCAAGGGCACCCCACGGCCGCAGCAATGGCTTCTTATACGCGTTCAAGGCTCCCGTTTGCCAGGCCTCCAACGCTCCAAAACCCTCCAAACCCCCCAAAAGTCCGGCCAGCTCCGCAGGGAAAAGGTACCCCAACAAGCCCAACACGCGCCACTGCCGCACGCAAAAGTCACCACAAGGCCACAGCCATGGCTCAAGGGCACCCCACGGCCGCAGCAATGGCTTCTTATACGCGTTCAAGGCTGCCGTTTGCCAGGCCTCAAACCCTCCAAAACCCTCCAAAACCCTCCAAACCCTCCAAAAGTCCGGCCAGCTCCGCAGGGAAAAGGTACCCCAACAAGCCCAACACGCGCCACTCCCGCACGCAAAAGCCACCACAAGGCCACAGCAATGGCTCAAGAGCACCCCACGGCCGCAGCAATGGCTTCTTTTATACGCGTTCAAGGCTGCCGTTTGCCAGGCTTCAAACCCTCCAAAACCCTCCAAACCCTCCAAAAGTCCGGCCAGCTCCGCAGGGAAAAGGTACCCCAACAAGCCCAACACGCGCCACTCCCGCACGCAAAAGCCACCACAAGGCCACAGCAATGGCTCAAGAGCACCCCACGGCCGCAGCAATGGCTTCTTATAGAATGGGCTAGCGCCCAGGTGCCGCCGACCCCCCTAATTGGAGGGGGGGTACTGTAGAGAGAGAGAGGGAGACGGACAGCAAGACAGACATATGGCCGTTTGCTTCTCAAGCCTGTTGGGTGTTGGGGTACCTTTTCCCTGCGGAGCTGGGCGGGCTTTTGGAGGGTTTGGAAGGTTTGGAGGGTTTGGAGAAGCCATTGCGCAGGGAAAAGGTACCCCAACAAGCCCAACACGCGCCACTCCCGCAGGCAAAAGCCACCACAAGGCCACAGCAATGGCTCAAGGGCACCCCCCGGCCGCAGCAATGGCTTCTTATAGGCGTTCAAGGCTGCCGTTTGCCAGGCCTCAAACCCTCCAAACCCTCCAAACCCTCCAAACCCTCCAACAGTCCGCCCAGCTCCGCAGGGAAACGGTACCCCAACAAGCCCAACACGCGCCACTCCCGCACGCAAAAGCCACCACAAGGCCACAGCAATGGCTGAAGGGCACCCCCCGGCCGCAGCAATGGCTTCTTATAGGCGTTAAACCCTCCAAACCTTCCAACTCCTCCAAAAGTCCGCCCAACTCCGATGCAAAAGGTACCCCAACAGGCGCCACGCCCGCACGCAAAAGCGACGACAAGGCCACAGGCTTGAGAAGCAAACGGCCATATGTCTGTCTTGCTGTCCGTCTCCCTCTTTCTCTCTACAGTACCCCCCCTCCAATTAAGGGGGTCGGCGGCACCTGGGCGCTAGCCCATTCTATAAACTATCCATTTTATTCCATTTTGGGGTACCCCCAGTTTAGGGAACCGTCCATTTTGGGGGGGAACAACTTGATGATCACCAGCCTTAAAGCTCACCATTCCGGCTCCGGCTTCTTTGAGCATCGCAATCGTCGCCTGGCATCACCGGTCTGCTCGCTGCGACCGGTCGTATAGTATGACTGGTGTGGTCGGTAAAACATGGTCACGATATATCGCATGATTTCATGTTCTGTCCATATGATTATGGAGATGGGGATAGGTCAGAATGATCAACAAAGATGGGAGATTACACAACATGACCAAGAAATTCATGGGCTCCTTTTGTGCCCAAATGACTTGGCCTGACTTGAAAGCATAACACAACAAGCACATCATATAATCCAATGCATTCCGATACCATGTAATCTGATAACCCCATATCATCGAACAATCCCATTATCATCTGATTACCCCATATCATCTGGCGATCCCATATCATGTGATAACCCCATATCATCTGATAATCCCAGATAATCCCACAAAGTACTATCTTGACCCATCCACATGGCAAGACTTCTCTCACCCAACCTGCGCAGGCTCGGTCAAGCACGCGCTGGACTCACCTGGGTCGACCATGGCTGAATGGAGATTTCTTACCCCAAAATAGATGTTTTTGTGGTGAGATGTCCGTTTTTTTCACAAGGATGACACGCACAAATCAAGAAGTGTCTCCATGGAATCATTAGAAGGCCAGCATGGCCCTTGCTTAAGGATGATATGCACAAAACCTTTGTGCTTACTTTCATTTTGGCTCAAGAAAACTTAGCTGCTGTGCGCTGGCGGCTAACCTGGTTTCGCAGGTTATGAGCCCAACCTTGGGTCTCTGACCATGTCGTTGTCGACGCTGCGGCGGAGAGAAAATTCGAGGGCCAGAGAGCTGACGCCTGATGGACGAGCACCAGGTGAAGATCAGGCTCAAGGCGCTCGGGCTCCTGGCCGTGGTGCCGGAGAGGGCAGAAGGTTGGAGATCGGGGTCGCTGACAGGAGATTGGAAGCCCTGTTGGAGGAGGAAAGGACTAGAGCGGCTTCGGTGCCAGTGGCTGGTGTCCGCCGACTCCGGTTGGAGGATGGGCGAGACCAAACCCGGGCCTTGGATGATGGAGGCCGGGAGGCTGCTGGTCGTGGGGCGCAAGGTGCACCCATTGGAACCTTGGAGGACGGAGCCAGAGCCATGGGGCTTGGCCAGCGTCAAGGCGGACCGATGGAGGCCTTGGATGATCCCAGAGCCAGAGCCATGGGGCTTGGCCAACTTCAAGATGCGGTCCGGCAGTCCTATGAAGTTCTTCAACAAGCTTTGGGACGGCCCCTTCTTCAAGGCAATGATCAAGGTGTTCAAAGGGGTGGTGTTCTCGACGACAGAGGGGAACGATCGCTCTTGCAAAGTACTCCAGCTCGAGTTCAGGCGGGCCATAGACCTGAAGTTGGACGTTCAGGAGGCTGTGAAAGCGCTGATGGACTTCGTGCCGGAGGTCAAGTTGGGGGCAGAACTGACATAGCCCCAAGAGTTTTGGATCCATACGGGACGCCTGGACAGAACCAAGGTCAACAGGTGAATCCTTTTTGGAGTGACGCAGTTCGCAGGGGTGCCATGGAACGCGCTCCTGGAGCTGGAGATCAACGTGGTTCGCCGGCCGGACAGGTTGGTGTGAGTGGCTTGACTTCTGGACGTGATAAGAATCCAGTGGAAAGCCCCAAGGATGAAGTTGAACGTTTGCGTGCTCGGATCCTGCGGGAGGCTGAAGAGGCCTTTGGCAGGGAGGTGAAGAAGCTTGGAATCTATGAAAAGGGCGATGGTGACTCCTATCACACGGCAACGAGTGCGGGTGGTGGTGGAGGTCAGTCGCAGGTTCCTCGGCAGCCTCAAGCTGATGGTCCATCTTTGGAACCTCCTCCGGGATTGAATCATGTGAAGATATCTGATGGAGCAGGCGACCAAGTAGTTTCTGAATCGCTGCGCCATCTGGAATTGCCAGGTTTGCCACAAGTTGGAGCTGAAGGAGCAGCCTTGCAGTTCGGAGATTGGCTGACCATAGCCAGTCCACTCATGTCAGACTTGGGATCATCATCGAAGAAATGGTGGGAACAGACATTGAGGGTGGCTGAGGAGTTCTATGGGCGATGGCTTGAATCTACGCCCTTGGAACGTCTCCGTCTCAAGCCCACGGTGGAGGTTGGCCCAGGGTATCAGCGCCTGGAGCAGAGGGGAATCTCAATGCTCTTGGGAATTCTGCCAGAAGCCCTTCGACGGGACATCGTCGGGGCCCGCAACGTATCCATGGTGTCAATACTCTACCGCCTCTTCGTCGTGTTCCAGCCTGGCGGAGGAGCTGAACGAAGTGCTCTCCTGAAGAACCTTACTGACTTGAAGCCTGGTAGTTCAGTGGCAGATGTCCTGAGCTCGATTAGGCTATGGAGACGATGGATTTCCCGTGCAGAGGAACTTCGTCTGACGATACCAGATTCCCTGGTACTCATGCAGGCCCTCAATAAGGTCTCTGAGGCGCTGAGCCGCATGGGTGGGAACCAAGTGACGTATCGGATCTCAGCTGTTCGTCAGGAGCTGCAGGTCGACCAAAGACCGGGGTTGTCGGAGGTCAAGGAGTTTGCCGAATTCCTCCAAGCGGAAGGTGAGGAGCTGGCATTGATGGCATCGGCCTCGACCAAGGGTGTCGGAGTGGCCGCAACTTCGAGTGGCGGTGCCGGGGGCACGTCGCTCAAGGCAGTGGCGATGTCTGGGGGAGCCAATGGAGGGCAGGACGAGAAGTCAAGGGGTCCTTGCCGCTTTTGGGGCACCTCAAACGGCTGCCGACGTGGAGATACTTGTAGTTATACCCATTTGTGGGATGGTGTCGAGAAGAAGGATCGATGCTATGTCTGCTCTGGTGTGGGACATTTCTCCAAGGGTTCAACCAAGAAAGACAGGAATACAAAGCAGCCAAGGGTGGCCAAGGTGAAGGGTGCTGAGAAGGAAAAAGACTCACTGGCCAAGGGAGAGCAGCTGAAGGCCAAGGGAGAGCAGCTGAAGGCCGAGGAGCAGAGGCCGACTTCGGTCAGTGGGAGCCCAGCCAGGCCGAAGGTCGAGGATCCGATTCCCAATGGGGATGGATGCCAACCTCATGGACGCTCTGCTCAAGGTGCTGGTGAGTCTGCGGCTACTCTGATCAACGAAGCCACGGTGCTGTTGAAGACCCTTCGATCAGTGAAGGCAGTTAAAGTGAAACAGGTGAACTATGAACCTGACTGTGAACAACGACCAGTGGCACTTCTTGACGGTGGGGCCACGCATGGTCTACGAATGGCAGAGCCTTGGGAGCGTGGTGCCTTGGAGCCCGTGCAGGTGGAGCTAGCATCGGGTTCAACCTGGCTCTATCGCCACGGCAGCCACAAGACCTTGCTCAGCCTCACCCAAGTGGAGCCGATAGTGCCGTTGCACCGATTGGTTTCCATGGGATTCAGAATCGAATGGTCGTCAAAAGGATGTAAGATCTTTCATCCCTCTCGAGGGGTCATCCAGTGCTCGCTTCGGGGCGGTTGTCCGACGATGGAACGTGGAGAAGCTCTTCTGCTCTTGAGGGAGATGGAGAAGATCGATGGATCTTCGCTGGATATGGATGCGAATGGGGTCAAGTGGTGGCAGGAGAACTTCCCGGAGGTACCTGACCGCATCATCAGGAAATTGGTGAGCCCAGTCGAGCCTTGGGACCCTGCTGCATTGCCCTGGAATCGGCATCAGCGTCGGGCACATCAGAAAAAAGGCGTGGCTCTTCATCTCTTTTGTGGGCCCAATGTGAAAAAATGGAAGGACTGTGATGTGGGCGGGCTAGAGTGGCTTTGCATCGACACCTGCCTTGGTTCGCAGTACGATTTGCACAGACCCGCAGTGTGGAGTTATGTGTGGGGGCTAGCCAACAAAGGCCTCATCAAGCTGATCCTGGGGGGGCCACCTTGTAGGTCTGTTTCACGACTACGAGATGGGCCTCCTGGACCTCGAAAAGTGCGTGGCCGTGGAGCTCAGCGATATGGCCTGGATGGGTTGGATCCCACGGAGGTTGAACTTGTGGAAAACGATACATGCCTCCTGTTGAAGCAGGTGGGTTTGTGGCTGAAATCGGAGCAGGTGAGGGGAGAGCAGGGCTATGAGACTGGGTTCTTGTTCGAAACCCCTCAGGACCCCGTGTCCTACCTGCCTGAGGAAGAAGGACGAGAACTTCCCTCCTTCTTGGAGTTCCCTGAGATCCGAGCTTTGGTGGAGGAGCACAACATGGAGTTGGTGTCCTTTGATCAGGGACGAACGGGGCATGAAAGGAGAAAACCAACCAGTTTGGTCACAAATCTGCCTGGAATGGGGCAGTTGAATGGTCTTCGAGGAGGTGGATCAACGGAAGGCGTTGGACCAGAGCTTCAGGATCGCATCAGATGCTCAAAGACGTGGGCTGAGTGGTCTCCAGGGTTGGTTGCAGCGATCCAGGAATCGCTGAGGAGATGGACGGCGTTGGCCAAGTCTTCAGGGGACTCTGTAGGGGTCAAGAAGATGGACCTGGAGTCCTGGAAGAAACACGTGCTGAATCAGCACCAACCTTTTCGGCGAGATTGTCGCCGCTGTATGGAACTGATGGGCAGGGATTCTCCACATCATCGGACGTCCGGGGATCGAGCCAGTCATGTGCTCACGATGGACATTGTGGGACCCTTACCATCTGGTGATGATGTTGGATGGGCTCCCGGAAATGGCATACCGCCTAAGGTCAAGTACATGATGGTGGCTACGGTGGCTCTGCCCAAGCTGGAGCGAGAAAAAGGTGATCAAAAGGATCCCGAAGTGGAAATGGATGAAGCTCCGGAAGGTGACTTGTTCAGTCGCCAAGCTGAAGCTGGAGAGGGCGAAGCGGAAGAAAATCAAGGAGGTGATCAAAAGGCTGCTGAAGAGCTCAATCAAAAATGGTTGGAGCATGCCAAAAGGCTGTCAGAGCCAGTGGGAGTGCAGAACCTGATGATGGTTGAACCATTGGCATCCCGACATCAGTCTGATGTGGCTCGGGTGGCGGCTCGGCTCTACTCTCGCTATCGAGCCCTTGGTGTTGGAGTTTTGAGGATCCACACGGATCGAGAAACAGCCTTTTTATCCCGACACTTCCAAGCCTGGTGTCAACGCATTGGGGTATGGCAAACCCTTACTGGAGGGGACGAAGGCCCCAGTAACGGAAGAATCGAGTCGGAGGTCCAACAGGTGAAACGCCGGGTCCGCCTTTTGCTCAGTGGTTCCGGGTTGGACCAAAAGTACTGGCCCGGTGTGGCGCGGTATGCCGGGGAAGAGAGGCTACGGAAACAGCTGGCGACCTTTGGTGTCCCAGTACAGCCGCTTCTCCCTATCGGCTCGAGGGTGACAGTGAAACGGAAAAGGTGGCATCGGCATGGGGCATTAGCATCGCCATTCAGAACCATGACGTTGATGGGACCAAGTCCACTGATGTCCACTGGCTACATCTTGATGGACGAGGGACAGCTTCAGCATGCTAGGCTGGCCGTCAAAACGGACCCTAACAGTGACCAGGCGATCATGGAGCTCCTGGAGGTTCAAGCCGCAGGGCACCCACACAGGCGTCTCCATGGTAAGCAGCCTCCGGACCCAACCTTGCCTGATGTGCCGCTTCCAAAACAACACTCTGATGGCGATTTCCTGTCCCTTGCAGCTCACGGTTCTGAAGGTGAAGAACCTGGGGGAGCTGAAGCAGAGATAGAGGATCAGGGGGAGCCACCTCAACTTGAAGAGGGTGAAGATGGGCCACAGTGGCCACAAGGAATCTTCAGTGATGGAGAGGAGGAACCTGTGCCAGCCCTTCATACGATGCGGGCTGGGGGGGAGAACACAAACCTCTCCAGCACTTTGAAAACTTTGAAAACTTCTGGTAGTGTAGTTTTTGGCACTTCTGGATTGCACCAATGTCGAGGATGCGGTCTTCAACAACCGGATGAGAAAGCCTGTGGGTTTTGTGGACAAGCTTTCAAGGTGGATCGGCAACGGGTATGTGCCAACAGAGCTCTCTGTTCCCTGCAATATGGAGATCAACTGTCACAGCGTCTTCGGGAAGAGCACTGGGGATGGAAAAACCAGCTGATGGAAGAGCTCAGAAGTGTAGCAGTTGGTGAGGATGAAGGAGGGCTGCATGGCTACACCTTGGAGTTTTTGGAGAGCCGGATCACCACTTTGGAGGATGAGCTGGTGGAGTTGGATCGTTCAGAGAATGTGGCTCGTTTGAAGTCACTGGTGGCCAATAGCCAGCAAGGTGGCCAAGATCAATCTGATGGGCCGCCTGCCACTGTTTTACAAACCTACACCGTGCCATTGCAGCAGGTGAGGAAAGAGCTGGACCTGTGGAAACAGCCCTTACTGGCAGAATACAAAAGCCTCTTGGACACGGGTGCTATCCAGGTGACCAGCGAAGAAGAAGTGAAACGGCATCCCAACTACGCCAACTTGGAGAGAGCGCCGGCCATGTTGGTGCCGACGATAAAAGCTCCAAGTGGGCGTCGAAAGGCTCGTATAGTAATTTGCGGCAACAGGATCGAGAAGGCTGATGGGGGTCAACAGAGCGTCGAGGTGGAGAAGTCGTCGCCATTTTCTACCTATGCGGGTGGCGCGGATGGCACTCTCCTGCGATGTTTGACCAGGAAAGCAGCGGCAGAGGACTGGACGGTGGCATCTCTGGATGTGGCCACAGCTTTCCTATTGGCTCCTCGCCGAGCTGCCTCCCAATTCCTCTTGATCATGAAGCCGCCTCGCATTCTGATTGAGGCCGGAATATGTGATGAAGGTGACCTATGGCGCATCGAAAATGCGTTGTATGGACTTCAATCGTCCCCAGCAGATTGGTCCAGTTATCGCAACAACGTTCTGGGTAAGCTTCGATGGATGTTTGGAACCGAGGAGTTCCATCTGGTGAGAACTTCGGAGCAGAATCTCTGGAAGATTCTACCCACCAAGGAGCCGATCAACAAGGAAGACGTGGCTCAGGGCTATGTAGCTCTCTACGTGGATGACGTGATGGCCGTGGGAAACAAAGGCTTGGTCGACAGCTTTCTGGCGAAGATTCAGGAGGTCTGGAAATGCTCCAAGCCGGAGTATGTCTCCACGGGTGCTTGGATGAAGTTTTGTGGATTTGAGATTTCAAGGCAGGATGGTGCCCTGTTACTCTCTCAACGGTCCTATGTGAAGGATGTCTTGGGCCGTTACTCCAACTTGTCGCCGAAGACGACACCTCTTCCTGCCTTGTTGGATGAGGAAAAGGAAGAGAACATCCAGGTCTCGGACATTCGGGCCGCACAGACCATTGTCGGCGAACTTTTATGGGCATCTTGCAGAACCCGCCCGGATTTGAGCTATGCTGTGGCCTGGTTGGGCCGGAACGTGTCGAAGTGCCCACGTCGGGTTCTGACATACAGCAGACATACCCTGGGGTATCTGCTGAATACTCCAGAGCTTTGCCTGAAGTATGGAAAATGTGAAGGTGGGTTTGGGGAAGACAACTCTTTGGCATTCCCTCGAAGTATGAGGACCCTGGAGGTCTACAGTGATGCCGCTTTGGGTTCCAACTGCCAGCGAGGACATCAGGGCCTCATCGCCTTGTATGGGGGTTCTCCGGTGCAGTGGGACTCTCGCTTGCAGCCTTTCGCAGTTCTCTCAACGACCGAGTCAGAGTTGGTTGGGTACTGTGATGGTATGGTGCTGGGCGAGTCAGTATCCACCATTGTGGAAATTTTGGAGGAGAACCAGGTGGCTTTGTCTGGAGACAAGGTTCTTTACGGAGATAGCCTTTCAGGGCTCAAGCTGCTGGAGTCCCCAGACGGTCCATGGAGGACAAGGCACCTTCGTCTTCGTAGCCATGTGCTACGGGAGCGGATGCAGTGGGGGCTCTGGAAGGGCAGACATGTGCCTGGGAGCGAGCTGGCAGCTGATTTGCTCACGAAATCGATCTCTGCGGCTACGCTCTGGGAGAAGTTCTACAAGTTTATGGGACTGGTGGATGGAGTTTCAGAGAAGGAAGAGCACTTGGAAGGATCGGGGGGAGCTTTGGTGGCTTCAAAAAAGAAGGTCGCGGCTCTCACCGCAGTAGTTGCTCTTGGGACGGTGTTGAAATGTTGCCATCTTTCTGACATGGAACGGTTGGCTACCACCTTGGGAATAACGGCCTTGGTAGCCTGGGTGGCGCATCAAATGAACTCTGAAAGGAACGCCGTGAAGGCGCAGGCCATTGAAAAAGGGTGCCTGAGAGAAACCGAGCTCAGACAAATTCAGGTCGATGCGAAGGTCGATGAACCCGCACTGGCCGCATTGGACATTGCAGCCAATGGTTGCACCGAGGGATCCTCGGCGATTCCGCGCCTCAGCGCTTTGAGGGCTGATTTGACGTATGGCCCCAGGCCATGGGAGGCCCCGGAATTCAACCAACCGCCGCACGCGGCAAATGATGACCTGTGGATCACCATGGGCGGGGGCTGGGTGGTGAGGATTCATCGCTCTCTTCGGAGCCGACTCTTCCATCCAGTACACCGAAGCTGCCCAGTTCGCACCGAGGACCTTGAAGCGCAACGGGTCTCGGTCATATGGTGGTCAGGGGATCATGGCTGGGAAAAAAGTGTCCAGCATGACAACTGGTACCTTGGACAAGCACCTCCACAACCGCCGGTGTCCGGCCAATGGAGGGGTTGGACCTTCTTCCGTTTGAGAGAAAGCTCACAGGGCGGTGGAAGCTCCTCTCAACAGCCTCGGATCCAACCAGACACACTTGTCTGGACTCCAGAAGAAAGTGGTAGGAACATGCCTCGGCAGTTTGGGGTTTCGAGCTCGAGCCGTCGTCGGACCTTTGTGGAGTCAGGCGATGGAGCTCCACCTAGCCGAGGTCCAGGTAACCCGGTTGGAAGGGGGCATCCCACAGTCACAGAAAGGGGTGCTGCCGCAAAGGCATCAATCAATACCATTACCAATCGCTACGGACACGCTGGATCCACTGTCTCTGGATCGGCGTCATCTGACGGGAGTTGGTCTGTGGCTGGAACCCATGGTGGCGGCCGTGGCCCGAGCTTGAGGTGGAGGCCTCCGGCAACTTCGAGCCCTGGAGGTTCGTTTTCTCCGCCGAGCTCCACGGCATTCGGGGCTGCTTCTTGGAATCCAGGAGGACCATCGTCAGGGTCCAGGCCTTTGCTTGGTGGAAAGGGTAGCTACGGCAGCATTCCACCTGGAAGCTCGGTGTTGATGAGGCCTGGGGGGCCCGTCAACCGGTGGTCCAATGGACCAACTATGTCAATTCGGGAGGGTGAGTCGGTGAACGATGCCACCTTGCGAGCACTTCAGGCTCCCCTTCCACCTCCCTTGCGCCCTCACGAAGCGCCGGAACACAGGAGGGCGAGATATCTGAGATCAAGCAGATCCAATGTCAGCGACGCAGAGCTCTGGGATTTTCTCCATGGCGCCACGATTGGCGATGGGGACTCAGAGTATGATGAAGCTGTGGAGCCCGAAAACCCCTCTGATGATTTCTCCCTGGTGACAGACCAACCCGAAGGTGGTGGTGATCATGTGGCTTAGCCGGAGAACGAAGAGGAGGACATGTAGGGCCGCAGTTATGGGACAGAGTTTTTACTGTCCATTTTTTGGCTGTTGGATTTCTCACCTCCGAATGCTGTCAAACAGCATGGGGGAGTGTGGTGAGATGTCCGTTTTTTTCACAAGGATGACACGCACAAATCAAGAAGTGTCTCCATGGAATCATTAGAAGGCCAGCATGGCCCTTGCTTAAGGATGATATGCACAAAACCTTTGTGCTTACTTTCATTTTGGCTCAAGAAAACTTAGCTGCTGTGCGCTGGCGGCTAACCTGGTTTCGCAGTTTTATATTGTTTTATCATGGAAAATCCATGAAAATCTGAAAACTAGATGATAACTGGGGGCACCCCTATTTTAGGAAACCTTCGCATGGTTTACCAACACGAATTCAAGGGGGTCCTGTAAATGTTCGCTTCAAGCACTGGGACAATGGAGTCTGGGATGGTCTGGGTCAAAATTCAACAGCCAAAGCTGGATAATTGTTTACTCTTCACATTTTGAAAATGAACATTGTTGCAAGATGAGTCAAGATGTTCGTAGGAGGAAGCTGGGATTTCTCAAATTAATTGGGAATGCCGACCACGAAAATGCAGTATAAGTAACAATAAAGTATAGTATAGTACGATAATAGATGGTGAAAACATGTAAAAACCATAGTTTCCAGCGTATTTTCCCTTCAACCAACCCAGTGCTCCGTAGATTTTCCTTCAACCATTCCCCATTGAAAGCCAGTTGAACACCAGTGAAGTCATGGCAGCGCCTTTGCGCAGAATCAGTTCGAGCTCTTTGGCATCGATGTACCTGCAAAAATCTGGGCCTGAGGATGGTTCAATGGTTCTTCATGAAAGACTCAGATTGAAATCAAAATCCATCGAAGAAATATGACTAGTTTTGAAATGTTTGCAGCACAAACAAGTGAGAATTCATCCAGAAATTACGGGTAAGATATGGTAAGATGATCCATTTCCAAGCTAAACATGGAATCGAGGCTTTGCCACATGGGTACCCATCAGCATTGCGATCAAAGATCCGAAACGCGGAACGACAATGGCCATCCTGGCACTGGCAGAAGGCGCCCAGAATGATCAGAATGAGCGGGGGGAAGGTGGTTCTTCGCTGTGGGTCCCGAACAATTGTGGAAAACAGGTCTTGCACCTCAAAGAAGTTTCAGTTTCCAAGTTTCAACGCAATTTTGATATCTTTGCACATTACATTGGCTTGCAGGAAGGTATCAGTATCAGACAGAAAGAACTGGTCTGAATAGTACAAATACATACAAATACTGCGGCTACAAATACAATATTTTTTTGAGAGGTACTGCAAGCACAGCCACTGGAGCACCGACTGGAAAGTTTGACAACGAAAATCAACGAAAGCAATGCGAGCCAGGTTTGGGAAACCACCAAGCTTCCTGCACCCACACACGCACAAGGATAAACAAGTTGGATTTCTGCAAATTGGGTAGACACGATTTGCCGTACAAATGACGAAAACAGCAAAACGCAGCGATTCGAATTTCACATGGGATGGAACCAACCGAGGACAAGAACAGTTGGGCAGAAATGCAAAGACACGTGCTAGAAGACAGACTCAAACTGCCAAACAAACTGGCAAAGTCTTCTATTTCTGTCACACTTCAGGCACTCAAAAAAAACATCCCTTGCAGATGTCGTGACGGCAACATCCCAGCGGAAAGGTGATTCGAGGTCTGTACCAATCAAGGTCCCAAAGAAAACAATTTCCAACTGACCCAAGTTGGTGAATCAAAGATGTTGAGACCCAAACCATGTCAAACCCTTTTAACTTTTGCAATTCGATCATACTGTCATGCGGACGTTGTCGTTTTGCTTCAGTACAGACGCACATTTGGTTAAACCAACGGTCGATTGCATGCAATCGTTATATCAGCTGCACCTTGCATTGGGCTCCAGAAAGGGTGGCTGCAACAAAGTCAGTGAAGCCTGAGACATTTGGCTGGGGACAAACATGAGGATAGGTCGAGTTAATTCCTTGCCAATTAGTGCTCACATATATTTATATATTATATATCATGTTCTGTGCTGTAAGTGATTCAACAGATTCAACTATTTTCTATGCAAACAACGTTCAACTGATTCAACTGATCACCTCATTCCGGCAGTACCATGCTGCCCTGAGCATCGCGGCTATCATCTCCAACGGGACGCGTTCGCAGAATGGCCACCACCTGTGAGGACTGTGATTTATTGTGCCGCCCTGCCCCCCCCCCCCAACATGAACCGCCCTGCCATCAGGCTCGCCCTGGGCTGCAGTGATTTTGCCTTGGGAAAAATGTGGGAAATTGTCTGTCATTTTGGATTGAAGGACCCCATAGACTCTATATGGCGTTTTCCTAAAATGGGTGTAACCATGGGTAACCCCAAATCATCAATGTTCATTGGATTTTCCATTATAAATCATTCATTTTGGGGTACCCACATTTATAGAAACCTCATTGAAACCTCTATGCGAAGTTTTGCATTGAGGCATCACGTCTTTGCCACGGCTACAAAATCACCAGCCATCACAAACTATGGGTCATGTTTCACAAGTATTCACCCATCCACTACTGAGGTTATCCCAATTCTTAAATTTCGCCCATATTTTTTTCCATACATGTCCAACTTTTTCCATACTATTTCGCATTTTTGGCTTCTACAGCACGTTGTACTTAGCCTCTGCAGGATTAGCCTCTGCAGGATGTTCACCTCCAAAGAGTTCATGTTTCACCTCTGCAGGATACCGTGCTTCTTGTCCCATGCCCAAAAAAAACAAATGTAAAAAACCTCGAAAATTGCTAGAAATGGGTGTCCCCTCCAAAATGGCAATTGTTTTTGGTGCCCCTGAAGCCAGGCCACTCCCTGGCTCCGCTGGAAGCGAAAGATCTCTTCGTCCGTGAACTGTGGTTGGCTCCAAGCCTTTGAGCTGCTGCCCTGCCACAGTGCAGATGGGCTCAGCAACTGGGGATATCAAAATTGGGAGTTGACCAGTGTTTCCAATGCTTCCACGTAAGACTCCAACAGAGAGATACTTCACACCAACAAAAAGGTTATTGAGAAACCACAGTCGTGGTTAAGACGCCCTGTGCTTCCAGATGTTTCCAGCAGCCAATCTTCACAACCAAAACCTGTATTTGTCTACTATTGTATGCTTATGCGTTCCGCCTGTTTCTTTGTCTTCATCTGGTCTTTCTTGGTTTCTTCTTTCTGTTCTGTTTCTGCCTTGTCTATCCTGCTGAAACTTCAGAATCTTCAGCGGTTTTCTCTTTCTCTGGCTGCTCCTCCTTATCGATCTTGTTGTTAGCCCTCTTGACCTCCTCAACCTTGCAAAAAAAATGCTTCACATGAGCCCTCTCCAACATCCCAAAAAAAATCAGCTCCAGGCCTGGCTGTGCAGCTCCCCCACACCGTTGTTGCAAATCATGTTCGCAGTTCCCGCTTCAAGTCAAAGAAGGATGGCCAGGCTCATGGCCAGAGCAAAGGCCCTGTCCCTGGTTTTCAGCTTGGAACTGAGTCCAATGGCTTTGATCTGCCCCACTGTGGTGCCATCGCCATCGCCAGCTCCGTCTCCATCAGCTTCCAACCTGCGATAGCCCGTGATGTCGGCGGAAGTAGCAACGGCTGTGGAGCTCTTGCAGCTCGCCATGCTTCACATCTTCAGGCACCTGAGGGGACCTGGTTTTCCCATGAAAAAACTCCAAATTCGGTTGAACATGTTGAAAACGCCAAATCAAATTGGACGAAAATCTAGGGAACGTCGGGTGAATGGCTCGTAGATTATTATATCTTGACGGTTTCACTGTATCAAGAGAGGCTTCCCGAATCCTACAATCTTCAAACACATTCCATCCACAAAGGGCCAACGAAAAGGTTAAAGAAATGGCCTGCGGAGGACTTCTCCAACTCGGCCAGCGCCATGGCCAGTCCAATGTCACAGGGTGGCCGCAAGGGCTGCGGACGTCTGAAACTTCGCTCGCTGCTTCACATCTTCACGGCGCCTGGCTATGGCGAACCCGTGCGAATCGAAATCAACGGGGTGCCGATGGACCTACAATTGATTATGGGTAATTATTTGTTTATACATAGTATTCAACTTCATCGTTAACCATTTTTCACAAATTTTGTTACTTTTGGACTTTTGGGTCAAACTATATAGTGAACCGTCCCTTTTGGAAATACCGTGAATTTTGAGCCCTTCCCACCTTGGAGCATCCGACACCTAGCGGTCGAACACGACACTCAGTGCGGTGCAGATGGAGCTGCTGAGCTGAGCTGCGGTGCCTCACCGGTGACGCAACAAATGGACACCATCTCTTTGATCTCTTTGTCCACGGCTAGGCTTCTGGATCTGTCGAATGCGGTGCTGCAGATCGCGGATGGTTGAAGTTGAAGTTATGGCCGATCCTGGCGGTGGTCCATCCGAAATCATCCTCATTGACTCAAGAGGATGGTTCCCAACAGTGGGGTACCCCAAACCATTGTGAAAAGCCCATTCAAAATCATTGATTTTGAATCATGAATCATGCTGAATGATTTTGATACTTTGGAGTGTCCACATTTTGGGAAAGCCCCTTTTTTACGGGCTAGGCTTCAAAACGCACTGGAGTAGGCTCCCTTTGGACATGTTTTCTACAGGGCTCTTTTTTGACATGGCAGCGCTTGCCTGTGGCTGCCTTAGGCAAAAATGTCTTGGTGTCATTGATTAGCTGCGGCGGGCTGCCCTCGAACACAATGTCTTTGTATGCGCGATGGCGCTTTGGCACCGGGGGTTCTGCATCTGGCGGTGTCTCCGCATGTGCATTTGGAGCTTCCCAGAAAGTGACTTCAGTACTGCGTTGCAATCCAAAAGAACAGGCAGGCACGCCGGCCACTTTCAAGAACACCTTCGTGGCAGGTGCCAGGTCTGCATAAAGAAACTTTGCAAAAGCAGCCTCTTCACGAACGCCGACTCCTCGTTCCACTAGTGCCGCCACCATTTGCGTGTATGACTCTGAAGCGGCTAAAGCGCCACAAACATCACGAAAAGGCTTTCGGCTTTCCACATCGGCGTACCCACTCCGACCTCCACCCGCTGCCCACCAGCATGCGTAAAGCATCCAGTGCTGGAATCAATGCCTGGCAAGGATGTGCTGCAACCTCAGAAAGTTGTTGGAATCAGTCTGTTTCGACAATTTCTTTACATACAATCTTTTTTCCTGCGCCCCCTGCCTCTGGAATTGTCGGTCGAAGTCTGTCTCGAACTCTTCGCCGCAACTCAACATCCAAGACAGCCCAACCAAATAAGCACCGTTGCTGGAAAGCGCACAAAGCCATCTTTCAACGAACCTGCTGCAAGCTGCCCATCCCAACTCGGAAAAGCATCTGTCCTTGCCGGGACAACGTGGTGAAAGGTGCAACATATGCCTTCTTATCTCTCTCTCTTTACCGTTACGGTGTCTTGCAGATACCCAAATCACTGCAACGTTGCAGCCAAGACACTGAGCACACGCACACAGCCACAAGCTTTGCATCAATGTCCCAAATAAAGCAACCGTGCTGACCATGTACGGCGCCTTGTTCAGCCCGCTCGCAAAGCTTTCTCCAAAGCGACTTCGCTTCGTGACTTAAGGCAAGCTAGCCTGTAGCGATAGAACGCTTCCCTTTCCGTGGCGTCCACGCGCCAGATTGCACCAGGCCCGCCAGGTGTCAGAGGTGCTTTGGGCCCCAATGTTTTCAGAATAGCGGTGAATATGCGTTCCAGCACTGGCATCACCACTTTCTGCTCGAACAACTGCAAGCTTGGCGGGCCTGGTTCTCGAGCCGCACCAAAAGAAAACAGACAGCGTTGGGCTAAACCAATGCGGTTCTTTTGTTCGCTTGCTACCCACCATTGCAAGTATACAGAGTATTGCTGCTGCAGCACAAGGGTGACGTTGGTTCTTTCCAATGGTGACCGACAGTCTGGACTCAATTCCTCTTCTGCTGCCTCCTTTTTGCTCTTCCTGTCCACAAAAGTTTCCCAAGGCACGGAACCACCATTGGCGCTGTCCAGGAATCGCGCCAAATTCATGTGCGTCGTTTGGTTCCATGTGGAACTCGCAGGCCAGGAAGGGCATAGCAAGGGCGCACCTTCACCTGCCACGATAGTGCCATACCCACCTGTAACTTTCAATTTGTCTAAAGCTGCGCAATGCGCCATTGCTTCAAGAAGATGGAACTTGTCCCATTTGTGTCCAGGAGCGAAATCATGATGCTTGCTCAATACCCCAGCCAGACATTTCACAATAGCATCTACTGCAGGGCTTTTGCCGCTTCCGGGCTGTGCCGTGCCCACTGCCCAGTACCGGCTACGGCATTCCCAGCCCGCGACATCCACAGCTATTTCCTTGTGCAGGAGCCCCATGTATACGCCGGTAGTGCGGCTCCAGACGGCCAAAGGAAAAAAAGTGGACTTCCACAGCTGATATTGCAGCCGCACGGCCTCCTGCGCCGTCAACGCATCAGATTCATACGCAGCCACCAGAGGAAAGAGTTGCTCCGTAAGTTGTTCATAGGATGCTGCAGCCGTGTCCGGTTGACGGATTGCGGCCGCTCGGCCTGAGAGCCTTTCACCCGCTGCCCGTTCTGCCACTCTTCGTAACAGAGCTCGGAGCCTTCCTCCTGCCTGCTGATGTTCGTGTGGTGCCCTGGTGCCCTTAGTCTTTCCATGTCATTGCATTGGAAGTTTAACAGCATTGGCGCCATGCACCTTAAAGACGGACGTGCCTGCATGAGTCCAAGGCTATTGATCATGCAGGCACGTCCGTCTTTGAGGTATATGGCGCCAATGCTGTTAAACTTCCAATGCAATGATATGGAAAGACTAAGGGCACCAGTGCACCACACAAACATCAGCAAGCCTGGATGAATCCTATTGCATGGCAAATGGGCTGCGCAACTCCCTCTTTCGGCCCAGACAAGAAGAATTCACGGCACACAGCGGTCAACTGCAAGTGGTTGCCTGCACTCTGCCTGCTTGCAGCATCGGCCTTCTGCACTAGGGCTTCAATTGCTTTGCACAGGGCAGGCGACACGGCCAACAGATGTCGCCAAAACAAGCGGCTCTCTGGCCCACCATTTCCACATGCTGCTGGAACTGCAAGCTCATCCCACAGAGCCACTTGTACTGCTCGCGCCTGCTCGCCGGACTGTGCTTCAATGACAGTACGGAGAGCCTCAGCCACGCGCTGCCGCTCGTTGGGCTTCAACCATTTCAGTTGACAGCCATCTGTCTGCCCAAATACTGCATGCAAACCACAAGCACCATCTCCGAGAGTGTTTGCTGAAATGCAACGCGCACCATCCCATGTTTCGAGCCACTGCGCGCCACCCCCATGCCCGGCCAGTGTGACGACCCCTTCTTCTGGGGCAAAGGTCCCCGTAGCTGAGAAAAGCGTCAAATCTGCGTACGATGGCCATGTATCCTCCTCCATCACCAAGGTCATCCATGACCGGCACCCAGGTAGATGCTTGTACACCACGGGTGTCTCGTACAACTGCACATCATCGAACACCCATGCGTACAACTTTCTGTGCTTGTCCATGACTTTGGGATCCAAAATGCCATGTTTTTTCAAATTCTCTTCATTCCACATGAAATTCTTGCTGGAGCCCCACGGCTCCCATTCCCCCTTGGCATTCTTGATGCCCACTTGCAAGCAATCAACCAAATTGACTTCACCCATCAATGTCCCTGCGCCACAAGGCGCAATGCAGATGCGTCCTCTCTTTGTTGTGGGCTGACTTCGAATTTCCCAACGCTTCAAGCCCTTGAAGATCTGCTCGCATCACTCGGGTCGAATGAGCAAAGCAGAGCGTTGCCCCTTGGCACCTTTCAGCACATCCTCTCCTTCAAGACCTGCAGGGGCAGGCAAACTCTCAGTTGAAACAGTTCTTTCGAAAAAGCTGCGTTTCTGCATTAGACAATGCCTCTAAGATCAGTTAAGGCAAAAAAATGACTAATAGTCAAATTTCAATTTTAAGGCAAAATTTTAACTAATAGTTAATTTTGATAAAAAAAAATGACTTAAGTTAATTTGCCTAAATTGCCTTAAGAAAAGCTTGTAAAAACCAACTGAAATCAAAGGATTATTTATAAAAAATGAAGAACAACGATAAAGAAGAGACTTGCAGCTCTAACATGTCAATAGTCTTTGCACCATCAAAGTGTTATTATGGCTTCAGGTTTTGTAGCGTTTTGCAAGAAAATATGCTCACACATGTGCTGTTCCTCCTACATGTCAAGCACTTACTTTTCTGACTGCAGTAAGTTTCTCATTATTATTGTCCTTTGCTTTGGCTTTGCCATCTTTGAAATGAGATCACACAAAAGTTGCTTGGGCAAATGGTGAGCTTTCTGTTGAGACCTCTGGGATGTGACTTAAATGACTCAAATGCTACCTAGTCTTACCCCTGCAATGTTATTTAGACACCTGAGATGTTACCTAGATTTTAGTTGTTTTGGTGTTGTCACCTATCAATCCCAGCCTTGTTTCCTTATCCCTTCACATCCACCACATGATGATAAAACAAGCTCTAAGCTCACATTAAGATTCTCATCTTCCTTTGTCTTATCTTCCTATCATCAAGCTCAGGTAAGACAAAATCCTACCTTTAAGGTAATAATAGACAAATGTCTGACTATTAGGTTGAATTTTAATAGCCTTATAACAATTCCAAGTTAAGTGAATTCTGAAACAACCTCGGAATTACCTTTTTTTGATGTTTTTTCTTGTCTCAGTAACATTTTTTGTTTAGGTCACATGTTTTTTGGAGTGTGTGTTGGGTGGGATTCTGAGTCAGTGTTCTTTTTAAGTTATTGAAATATTTCAATAAAGTTACTAAGATATTCCGACATGGCTCCATTGAAGTTTAAGCCCCATGGAATACTATTTCAATTGGGTTCCAGTGCCAATAAGAAACCCAAAAATTTCAAGCCTTATCCAGCGAAATGTGAATGGTCAGAGGAGAAGGAAAAAAGGGGAGAGGGAGGGGAGAAGTGAGAAGAGAAGAAGAGGAAAGAGAAAGAACAAAGAGAAAAAGGAAAGAGGAAAGAGACAAGAGCAAAGTGTGCAGAGAAGAGAAGAGCAGAGAAGAAAGAAAAACTCAAACAAAAAGGGGCAGAGGAAAGAGGAGAGAGAAACTAGCAGAGGGAAGAGAGGAGACAGAGGAGGAAGAGAGTGTATTTTTTGGCCCATTGTTGGGATTTGTTTTCCCCTTTTACTTGGCAGTCCGTTTAGTTTGGCCCAAAATTAGGATTGATTTTTTCTTACCCTTTACTTGGGCCTCAGAAAAAATTGGCCCATGGCTGGCAGTCCATTATCTTTTTTCTCTTATACTTGGGTCTTCAGCAATGTCGGCCCATAGTTTGCGGTCAAATTTTGTGTGTCCTTTTACTTGGGCCTCCCATTTGTTGGCAAAACTGGAAGTCATTATTTTGCTTCCATGCCCTTGGGCCTTCCATTTTAAGCCTGCAACATTCACAAAATCATATGGTTATGCCTTGGTTTTATTACTATCCTGGGCTAACCTTTGCTCAATGGGCTACAAACAAATATTTTTTTTGTAAAACATTGAGCTGGGTGCATGGGTTGGAAGCTGCCATAGTTTGATGCTAGTTTGATATGGCTTTTGGAAAATGATTTAAAACACAATAGCTACCATAGTAGCTTGTGAAACTGGCACCAAAGTGACACCAAACTAGTATCAAACTAGCATCAAAGTAGCACAAAACTGGCATTAAACTAGCATCAAACTGGCATCAAACCAGCATCAAAGTTGCACACCAGGGGTGCAAGTTTGCAGCAAACTTGCACCAAACTAGCACCTGTTGATCAAAATTTTGATGAAAAATCCATGAACGATCCATGAAATTTCATGAAACATCTTTGAAATATCCATAAAAAATCATGAAATATCCATGAAAGATCCATTAAAAAAAACATGAAACAATAAATAATATAATAAAAACGAAGTCAAAGAAAACACAGAACTTGAATGCCATCTATGGGCCAAAAATATTGGAGACCCAAGTAAAAGGGATGAAATAACTGCACTCCCGACTTTGGTCAAGGGGCCAAGGAAATGGAACCAAAAGAAATGACTGGCAACTATAGTGGGACAAACTTTTTGGAACCAAAGTAAAAGGGATGAACAAACTTCACTCCTGATTTTGGGCCAGAAAAATTGGGAGGCCTAAGGAAGTGGAACGAAAAACTTGACTGGCAACTATGGGCCAAAATTTTTGGAGGCCCAAGTAAAAGGGGCCCAAAACCTTCACTCCCGACTTTGGGCAAGAAAAACGGGAGGCCTAAGTAAATGGAACCAAAAAACTTGACTGGCAACTATGGGCCAAACTTTTTGAAAGCCCAAGTAAAAGGGGCCCAAAAACTTCACTCCCGACTTTGGGCAAGAAAAATGGGAGGCCTAAATAAATGGAACCAAAAAACTTGACTGGCAACTATGGGCCAAACTGTTTGAAGGCCCAAGTAAAAGGGGCCCAAAAACTTCACTCCCGACTTTGGGCAAGAAAAACGGGAGGCCTTAAGTAAATGGAACCAAAAAATTTGACTGGCAACTATGGGCCAAAATGTTTTGAGGCCCGAGTAAAAGGGATGAAAAATAATTCCCAACTTTGGGGAAAAATCCCAACTATGGGCCAAAAAATGACTCTCTTGCCTCTCTTCTCTCTTCTGTTTTCTCTTTTCTCTTTCCTCTTTCCCTTTTTTGTTTTAATTCTTCTCTCTTTTTCTTCTCTTCTCTTCTCTTTACATTGTGTTTTTGTCTCTTTCCTTTTTATTCTTGCTCCTGTCTCTTTCCTCCTCTGCTTCTTCTCACTTCTCTCTTCCCTCTTTTTCTTTTCCCTTTAAGCATTCACATTTTGCTGCCAAGGGCATCAAACTTTTAGGTTTTTTGTTGAATCAACACTGGGGCCCTATTGAGATAGTATTCCATGGGGCACAAATTTCAACAGAGCCATATTGAAATATTTCAAGAACTTTCAAAATTCAATTGTTTCAATGACAGGCATGTTTAAATAAGTCTTATTGGTGTGAGCCCGCCATCTCAGGTATACCAAGGATGCTATGCAACTTGCCTTTGTGATGTAGCATGGGCAAGTTGCGCAGCATCCTTGGTATACCTGAGAAGGCAGTGATCCTTGAGCAAATTGTGAAGAAAAGAAAAATTCATGTGGTGGAGGTAAAGGAAGGCTGAGAACACAGGGAACAGCAGAAAGGGTGGCAGAACAAGAATACCACATGTCTAAGTAACAATTGAGTTGTCTAACTCACATTCCAAAAAATGAAAATAAGTAACATTGCAGTCAGCTAAGTAACGTGCAAGGTCTCTACAAAGATTGATTAACTGTATTGATTCTCTGCCTTTGCCAAAAAAAAAGGAATTTTACTGTGTTTTTTAATCCTTTTTTGATGCTGTTCATACAAACTAACTTAAGGTTATTTATCTTAAAGTTACCTAATAGTTAGATTTTTACGTCAGAACTGAAAGCTAACTATTAGGTAGAATTTTGTCGCTTAGAGGAGGAATATCTTCCACCACAAGATATCATGATTCTTATCTTAGGCAGTTCTTTCACATTTTCTAGTGGAGCCAGAGCTACATGAACTCACAAATCAGTCAAACAACATGACAACACAATGGATCCCAAGAGAGACTCTTTTCTCCAGCATGCATGAAACAGTGACCAAAATGTCTGCAATCAAGAAAAAATGCAAGTGTTACAACAAAACAAATGTTTCTTTAGCTGACAAAACATAAAATATTTCAAACAAAAAATGAATGTTTTTTAGCCAAAAAATACATGTTATTTAGGCTTAAAAAATTAACTTAAGTTAATTTAACCAATTTGACTTAAGTCAAATTTTGGATTTGACTTACCTCAGGCCTGCAATAAGGCAATTTGATTTTTAACTATTAGTCAATTTTTGGTAGATTGCCTAAAAGGCAATGTTTTGCCTTAACTGATCTTAGAGGATGCTTTGGAAAGCAACACTTCCGCGCCTGACAGCGCAGGCAGCCTCGCAACTGCGCGCTGCCACACGCCAGTGTCATACTCCTCTGCATTATCGCGTGGTGGTCCTGCGCAATGCATATGTGAGCTCATCCGTGTCACGTTTTCCTCCATATTGTTTAAAGCTAATTCTGTTTCGTTCTCCCCCCAAAAACATGTCGGTCTTGGAACCAATATAGAGCCCCCAACAGCTATATATCGCTCCCATTAACACGCCACCTCGTACAGCTGTTTTGGGCTACAATTTCTCCTAAGTCTTGCAGCTGCACAGTCTCTTCGAAGCATAAGAATACACGGACGAGGCCCGCAAGGACCTCCAATGCTCTTGCAGATTGGCGTCTGAACTCCCCTGACTATGGTGCCATTGCGAATAATGCCGCTCACGAGTTGCGTGCTTTGCCAAATAGTCGATCACGGCTTCATCTGCTTGTTGCGCCAACGCCAGGCATTCGCAAAGGAGCAAGTTCCATCAAGCCCTTCCCCATAGAAAGGCGCCGGCGGAAAATGCAGCGCGGCCAAGCCCTCACAAAAATACAAATCCCAGGTAACACGTGGCACGGTTCGATGCATAAACCTGGGAGGCAGCAAATGACCATTCAAGGCGCGCCGCAGGTGCCGTAAGATGTTTTTCCGAAGCTCGGAGAACGCCCCTGT